GGGAGTAAGGTGGATCTGGCCAAGCACGTGAAGCAACTGTCGAGTGAGGCAGACTGGCCTCTCTGGAAGCGAAAAATGGGGGACATTTTGGATTACCATGAAGGCACGTTGGGAGTGTTGGACGGACGTCTGGTTCGACCGGATCCGATTGCAGAAGATGCGACGCTCGAAGCTCAGAAGGAGCCCAAGCAGAAGAATGACATGTACCGCAAAGCCAATAGCTATGCCAAGACACTCATCTCGGGAGCGGTCGCTGATAGCGTATACCAGAAGATCATGAATAAGGAATCAGCGAAGGATGCGTGGGACGCATTGAAGTTGTTATTTGAGGCATCGTCTCACGACCAACTTTTCAATATTTGCACTGATTTCTTCGCATTCACTTGGTCGATTGAGAATGACGTGTCGACCCACACCGCAAAGCTCTCGAGTCTGTTCAATGAAATCAATATGGGACTCCGAGCTAGGAAGGAGAATCCTCTACCAGATCTGCTGCTGGTCTGCGAAGCACTCCAGATTTTGCCTCCGAAATTCGGGAACTTTCAGTCAGGCTGGATGCTGATCCAGAGACACTGACAAAAATTCGGAGGATCTCGTTCATCAACTGTGTATGTTCGAAAGAAATTTCAAGACGGCGCCGGAGCCGGGAAAAGAGGAGGCGCTGCCGGTGGGGAGAGAACGGCTGAGGAAGCCTCACGGCAGATATGATAGACAGCCTCGGTGGAAGAATCAAGAGTCATCTGATCGAAAGTCTTGCTGGTATTGCAAGCTGAGCGGGCATTCTATGCGGGAGTGTCGCAAATGGATTGCCGATGGACGGCCGCGTACGAGCAGGACCGCGAATGAGTTGGAAGTCGGACGAATGACTCTGGCACTCTCGCACGAGATTTGTGAAGCAGCGGAAGACTCTACTCGTTGGTGGGTTGACAATGGAGCAACTCAACATGTTACGCATGACCCAGAGTTTTGACGTAGAACTACGTCATTGCGCTCGTTAGAGGGGCCATCGGTGAACACCTCGCGTGACGGAAGTGACCGTTTTTTGTCAAACAGGAATCGGCGTCAAAAGATTCGGTAAAACTGTCTTAAGGTTGGAAACCTACGAACTAAGCTCGGCATTTATGTACGCGACTCGTTGCGCACCCCCGTTTCACACAAAAGCTTCCCCACTGAGAGCACCGGAAGCGCGCGAAGAGAAGTAGAAATTCTAAACTGATCATATGGCGCTTGGCGTTCACGGTCTACTGCATTGGCTCCCTGGTGGGCTGGATCAATGAATGACAGGTCTTCGAGTGCGTAGCGCCTTTGAGCGGTGGCATAAGTTCGCGGAAGTGAGCGAGAGAATCGAACAATTATTGAGATGGCCAGAACTTTCGAGTACTCGAATCTTGAGATTGATTTTCCTTCGGCAATGTGGCTGGGAAGACTCCCTTCGAGCTCTGGATGCACAAGAAGGCTCGGATCCGGCATCTCCGTGTTATCGGCTGTCCATGCTATGCGCATATCTCTGACGAGAAACGCCGTAAGATGGACAAGAAAGCGGTCAAAGGATATCTCGTCGGGTATGACGGAGGTGAGAGGTACAGAGTGTACTTAAGAGAGGAACGTGGAGTTTTTCCCACCAGGAACGTGAAATTCCAGGAAAGTCTCTCTGGTTGTGAGGTGCGGATCAAGCTACCGCTGAGAAATGGTCATGACAGAGAAGAAATAGAAGAGAGAGACACTGCGAACTACAAACCGGAAGACTCAACCAAGAGAGAGTTCAAAGAGGATCAAGAGGAGAGCGAAACTAAAGGGGAATAGTCCGGAATCCAGAAACCAGTTGCGGCGCCAGCGGGAAGCTTTGTAAGCTATAGCTTCCTAAGCCTCTGGAGTCGGGAAAATTTCCTAAAAATTTTCCGATCATAGATATGTTCCATCGGTTTCGGAGCATTCAGAATGCTGCTGTCGATCATGCAGGGTTGAATTTCTCGAGGTCACGAGAAAGACTTGATCGCGCACATGCGCTTGGACGCACTACACGCACGCAACCCCAGAACGGGGGTTTCCTCTTTCATGATTGGTGATACCCCAGCTGATATCCGTCATCAACATCTGACCGAGAGCTGAGAACTTCCAAATCAAATCGTGGACGAATTCGCCAAAGGCAAAGATCGGAGAATTCCCCTGGTGTTATGACTGTGATTCAAACGCTTAAGTTAGTCGTATCTCAGCTCGTCGCTAGGAAAGTAACATAAGACGGAACGCGGAAGGTCTCCGCTGTTTCTACTATATAATGTACAAAGATATGTATCATTGTATGCATCTATGCAACACTAATACTTGCCCTATAAAGCAAATCTTTGTGTCCCCGAGCGCTGACTTCCTCGTTCGGAGGAAGCTGTATCCAAGAAAAATTCAAGCTTCCCAAAAAAAATGGCTGGCGCCGCCACTGCCAGAAACTGACAATCGAAACCTTCGAGAGGAAGATGTAGGAGATTCATCTGATGAACAAGGAACAAGCGATAGGAGTTCCTCATCACCGATCAAGGATACCGCGACTGGAGTGTCGCAGTGGGGAAAGTCGTTTCTGAGGAATCCTCTGCAGATCGAGAGACCAGCTTACTTGAATGATTATGCTACCTGCGTGGAAGTCTACAACATTTCCGCAGCACCGCAAACATATTCAGAAGCGGTGCAGAGTGAGAGGAGCGTAGAATGGCCCAGAGCAATGGACTCGGAAATGGCATCTTCGAGAGAGAACCAAACTTGGGATGTTGTCGAACTTCCGAGAGGTGCCAAAGCTCTGCCCTGCAAATGGGTGTATCGGGTCACGGAGAACGAGGAGGGCAAGATTGACCGATATAAGGCTCATTAAGGGGTTCAGGCAAAGATACGGTTTCGACTTCGAAGAAACCTTCAGTCCCGTGGCGAAGTTGGCCACAATCCGTTCGATTTTGAGTGTGGCAGCTAACGAAGGGCTGTATTTAGGGCAGTTCGACGTCACGACTGCTTTTCTCTACGGAGAACTGGAGAAGGATTTCGACATCAACATGCAGAGCCCTGAAAGCTACGAGACTCCACGCAAGGTATGCAAGCTGAAGAGAAGCCTTTATGGTCTCAAACAAGCTCCACGGTGTTGGGTTAAGAGGTTGATTGTGTACATCAAGAAGCTTGGCCTGGTCCAAATTGAAGCCGACCCGTGCCTTTTCATCCGGGACACCGACAAGGAGAAACTCGTCCTAGCTATCTATGTGGACGACGGGTTGATGGCAGCTTCGAAAAAGTCCACGTTGAAGGAATGTCTCGAAGGACTGAGGTTGGAGTTCAAGATAACTTCGAAGGACGCCTCGTATTTCTTAGGACTTAAGATTGAGAGGCAGCGAGACTCCATTAAGGTCAGCCAGGCGTTGATGGCAAGGAAGATTTTGGAAAGGTTCAATTTTGTCGGTTGTAGACCGTGTCTACTCCAATGCTCAGCAAGAACTCTTCTGAAGCGGGGGAAGGAGAAGTTGATGATTTTAGTGCCGAAGATGAGTTATCAGATTCAAACAAGTTCGCGGACAGACAAGCCGTAGGGGCTTTAAGGTACCTAATGCTCGGCTCGCGTCCTGATCTCGCGTACGCGATCGGAGTTCTGTCGCGGAAACTTGAAAATCCATCCAAAGACGATGTGGTGAAGCTCAAAAGAGTTCTTCGCTTTATCGCGGGTACTTGTGACCTCGGGATTGTCTACACTCGAAAGGGGTCCCCTGCCGCACTGGAAGCGTACAGTGATTCTGACTATGGTGGTTTTGCTCAGACGGGTAGCTCCACATCAGGTGTCGTGGTCAAGTTCGCAGGTGGATCCATCAGCTGGATGAGTCAGAGACAAAGCTCCGTTGCGACATCTGCGACCGAAGCGGAAATAGTTGCCGCAAGTGAAGCAGCTAAAGAGGTTGTCTGGCTTCGACGTCTCTTTTAGAAGATAACGGAGTCGGATATCATTCCGACGCTGTTCGTGCATAACTCGGCCGCAGTGAGGCTTTCCGAGATCCAGATCCAGATTTTTACCGGCGCACGAAGCACATAGCGATTCGGCATTTCTTCGACACGGAAATAGTCACCGAAGGCGATCTCAAAGTGCAGCAGATAAGCACCGAAAATCAGAGAGCTGATATTTTCACGAAGGCACTAGGAGCCATTCGTCATCAGTTTCTCTGCAAGACGCTAGGCATGACAGCTTAGCAAAACCTTCGATTCGTCATGTAATGAACAAGGAAAAGTGTTGAGTCTATCGTTCATGAACGACGAAGTTTCCCTTCTATACATAAATAAGTCTTCCATAGAATAAATTATACGGTTGCTATCAGAAAACGGAGCTGAGTAGTACGAGCAGCCTAGTCCTCAGACAAGTTACCCCAATAATTTTGAGTATATTCCATGCAAGTGCACCATCTACCATCAACCTCTAGATGACAACGTCAAGCACCACTCTCATCGAATCGATGGAAGAAAAGAGGCTTCTCTGCCTGGAGAGACGATCGGGTGTAATGATGGGATTCCAGTTTCCTCGTCCTTCAATTATTAAGTAAAAGTATTCCAGTACTTCGGATCCTGATGTTTCCTCAAACAGGGCGGATATGCTGAAATATGGAGTTCCCGAACTGTATTCTTGTTTGTCAGAAACCACCGAAGCATATATCTAAGCCAGCTGTTAAATAGACACAATCATACATTTCTAGTTCAGAGACCTAGTTCCAAAACTCGGGAAATTCCGGATGTAAATCTAGTACGTTCACTCTCTCTACCTACTGGATCCTTGACAAAAATATTATCCTATATATTCAACGAATAAACGAATAGAGTTACTCTCTGCTCTGTGACCACAGAATTGGAGTCCTTTCAGAAAAGTCCAGCGCTGTTTCCCATCTAATATTCCGAGCTCTCGCCGGGAGTGATTCGGAGAGAATCGGGAATTTTCGGAAAATCATCAGCCGAGGATAAGGATTCGAATCCGAGGAGAACGAGGTCCCACGAGCCACGAGTGTTTTCCTCGCCGCGGCTCGCGCAGTCGTCGTCTCTGAGAGACATCAGCTGATCTACATAAGAGGGCGGCTTCCATAAACTTCCCGCAACAATCAAATGTTGTTTCTTGAGTCCGGAATTCGCGATAGAGTTCTTCTCGCAAAGATCCCACCGATCGAAGGAATCAACCTGGACGGAAGCGCTTTCCGGACTGCTCAGACCGTGCTGAAACGACTCCTGTCGAGGAAGATGATCTGAACGAATGACATTGCTCGCCCAGACGAGGTTGGAGCGTGCGCGAAAGCTCCCACTGAGCTCTCCATCCGCCACGGCTGCGAGCTGCTTGTGAAATCCAACCCCATCAAGTGACTTATCGCAATCCCTCGAAGCTCGAGCAGCATGAGTGTTCTCAAGGACTTTCGTTGGTTGTCGGAGTTCGGTCCAGTTTTCGGGATACACGGCGAGAACGTGCAAATCATAAGCGAGCCGTGTCAGTTCTACAAAACTTTGAACGTGAGTCTGCTGAGTAAGTTCCTGAGGGGAATCTCGATTCGATGTCGTCATGCGATCGTTCAATCTTTGCTCGGTTTCAGTCCTTAGCGCTGGAATCGGAGAAGCGAATCGTCTTAGCGGCGTTGTATCTCGGCACCGGTGCCCTCGAACAAAATTTAGTACAGAACATACGCACAGCTGTAAAGAACAAACCACACAGTCTACAACTCACAGGTGAGCCCGCGAGATTGCAAAGCGGAAGGCCGGAGAGCTCGGGGCAAGTCAGTCGATGATTGAAGATAGAATTCACGTTTCAGTCCTCCTCGATTATACCCGAGCATCTCGCGGAGCTGATGTTTCGTCGCGAACAATGTTGACCCCTCTCATCGGGGAATTCGGTCCGAGAGTCCAAGTAAAACTATATCACAGCCCGCGGCTTCGAGGTCTACTCAGATGGTTGCTCCCACAGAAATGGAATGAAATCGTCGGCCTACAGCACATTAAAGTATACGTCTTCGACAATAACGTTCTCTTGAGCGGGTGAGGAAACCGTGAGGATTCCCCCGAGAGATGGACGTCGAGAATACGACGACATTGCGATTATTCCATCACTGTCAAGAGGCTTTTTGGAGCTCGTAAGAAAGATTTTCATATTGCAGTGCCAACTTGAGCGATCAGTACTTCGAGAAGCGCCAAGACCGGTACTTCTTGTTCAGAGACAGTCCGGGGTTAGCTGATTACTACACGAATCTCGTCGAGTCAGTCGGTCGCGTCTCCTTCCGGCTCGATGCTTCGAACCAATTGAGTTTCACGAATGACCAAGATGTCCATCCGTACCTGCATTCATTGCGGAAATTTGTGTCTTACTCGAAACAGCTTCTGGCTGAGTTCACGGAGCCCAATGATTCATTCGACGAAGCAGAGCCGTACGACACACATGTGTATCCTCTTGTTCAAATGAGTCAGTTACAAGTCGGGAATGACCTAATCGTCACGACGAGGATGCTGGAATCATTTTCGGAGGGGAGCCGTGTCAAACTTGGAACCGGATATTTCAACCTCATTCCCGAGTACGAGGAGCTGATCACCAATGGACGAGCTGCGTACGACATTTTGACTGCCCATCCAAAGGCAAATAGCTTCTACGAAGCTCCTGGCGCGATGTATTACATTCCGGTATGTGTTGTAACATCCCAGATGATGATGACGGAACTATTGTGCTTCAGGATTGTCGTATAAAATCGCTGTGATTCTCGAAGGCAATGTACACACTCCTGCTCAAGATGTTCTTCACGAAATCGGCGCCAGCACGGAGTCGGGTGAAGCTCTGGGAATACGAACGAAAACACTGGACCTTCCACGGCAAGGGTCTATGGTATTACGCGCCAGGACAGCTGAGACCGAATTCGACAATGATCGGCTCCCCTAACTTCGGTTTCCGGTAATTATACTAATTCTCCAGCAAGGCTCCCCCCATGAGTGATTCGCCTTGATTGCTTGTAAAACCTTATGCGCCATTCTGCCTGCAGGTCCGCTGGTCGGGATCTCGAGTCACAAGTGGTCATAGTAACAGAAAACGAGGATCTTCGCAATCGCTTGGAAGCGGAACAGGGAAATATATTCGAACCTGCGAGTGAAGTGTCAAAGCAAACTTTCGAGGAAAAGGAGCGCTCTGTACCCATGTGGCTCCATATCGTAACCAAGTTCTGCCGAAGTTTTTTCTGAACTCGTTTGTCACCAAAGCCAGTCTTAAGACGACCCCGAGGCTCCGAGTGATCATGGATCTTGTCTCAATGAAGACGTCGGTTGAATCGGAAGCGTTTTCACCGGGCGCGGACTCATTATCTTCTCCGACGATACTCTTTCAGATCATGAAACGCACCATCGGAAATGAGCTCAGAGTGCAATAAAGTCGAATCAGGGTCGAGCTCCAAGTCGTAAATCGCATTATTGTCACGCGTTCGTTAGAGTAATATTCTTATTCTAATATATTCGTTTTCGGTCCAGAAACATTCCGCTCATAATTCCGACGTCTCCGACTTCTCATCAGTCGGACAATGTTTCACACGGCCACTTGATGCACAGACAGGCATCAATTAGCGTCGTCATATCTCTCACAATGCAGCAGCATGGCCATTCTCGTCTCCGACATCGACTCTGTGCTCGTATGCAGAGGCAACGGTCGCGAGGCTATCGGGCCCGAAAGTTTCATTGAATGAGGCTTGTCGTCCAATAGACGCAAGATGTCGATGATGTCCCCGATGGCTGTCATGAGTGTGCATGACGGCGTCGTGCAGGGAGGGGAAGAACTGTGTTTCCGGTATCTCCTTCGTGACTCCTGCCTTCCTCAGAGTCGATAAAACTTTTGGGGCACAATCGGCGATGAAAATCGCGACCCCGTCCGTGGTGAAGGTTTCTGCCAACTGCGGGAGAGAAGTTCTCTGCGAGTTGTAGATTCCACGGGGATCGTTGCTGTTCAGATTCGCCTCCCTCAAGATATGGAGCGAGGTTCAAACTCATATATTCGAAACGCGAGAATCTCCATTGGGTCTAACCTGTCGTAGGAAGAGAGCGAAGGAGCCATCGATGAAAGTCACCCGGGAGAAATCGAGGACGATGTACCTCACCGGCTTGTGGCCCATCTGTGTATTGAGAGGGGGTAGAATTCTAGTAGAAGAATAGAATCCTACTACGTGTTTTGACCACCGTTCCGATCCACCTGATCGAGAGGAAGCATCGTCTTGTCTATATCAAAGCTCGTTCCCTTCACCTGCTCGTGTTTCAGTGTGTAGTTTGGATCGGATTTCCGCAGGAGCTCCGATTTGAAGAAGTCCGTGTTGGCGAAGTGGAGCGGACCGCCGTATTGGAATATCTTCACTCCAGGTACTTCACGGGACTTGGAATAGCGTGATCGATGAAAGAAGAAAGCTTCTCTCCTCCCCCCCTATTCGCCAAACGCTTTCACTTGATCGGAAAATTAGGGGTCAGGCCATGGGGAATCTCACCTGGGCGTAGAGTTTCAAAGGGACGTAGTAGTCTGAGTTCGGTGTATTGCCCAAAAGGAACGTTTGCGGTGTTTGTACTTTGTAGACGAGTGTGAGCAAGGAGAAAACGACTCCGATGACGAGTCCATTGACCACATCGATGACCACGGTCGCGAAGAAAGCAACCAACCAAACATGCTGAAATCCATAACTCGAGTCGGATCTTCCTCCCAGAGAGCGAATGGAAGGCTCGGATTTTTCATTCGGTCTGAGAGCGTACCATCCATACTCACGCCGTCTATGACTGACAACCTCCAAAAGGTTTTGAAATCCCGAACTTGCATGAAAATCTTCTTCAGGGACACAACGATGATTGCGGATAGGGTCGCTTTCGGTATCCCGATCAAAAACTTGCCGAGGGCGAGCACCACAAAAATTAGGAGCGTGGAATTAATCAGGCTCACGAGTTGAGTCCGGCCACCAGCGAGAAGTTGTAGCGAGCTTCTCGGAACCGAAGCCCCGGCGGGGAAGCAGCCGAAGACTGAGCCGAAAAAATTGCTGATGCCAAGAGCGAAGAATTCCTGATTGGGTCTCATCTCGTAGCCTCTGTCGCGGGCCCAGATCTTCCCCAAGGAGACGGCTACCGTGAAGGAAATGATGGCGATCAGAATCGAATCCACAAGGATGAACTTGATGAGATCGACGTTCATCTCCGGTATTTTCGGAGCCAAGAAGCTGGAGTCGACCGAGAAACAAAGCCGATTCTGAGACTCCCCCGGAGCTGAGCTTCATTCGAGCCATCGATAGACATTTGAGCCCGATGCTTACGATCTCCGCGATCTCACCTGTTTGGTATGTCCAACACCGTATCGAAGCCATTGTTTTTGAGATCACAGGCATTTGAGAAAATTATGCAGATTATGACAACGATGATCTCGATGGGCAGCGGCATATGGAACTTGCGCAGGAGGTAGGGATCGACGAAATGTTTCACTGCCAAGATCACCAGGATCACAATGATCGCCAGCGATAACGTGGGTACATGTGTCCGACCGATATTTTTGAAGAAGTCGATGTAAGTCTGCGAATTACGAGTTACGAGACAGATCACAGCAGTTGGCCCAGAATCACACATCGGGCGACAGCCACGATAAATTCTCATGATGTATTCATGTAATCATACCGATATTAAGAGGAAGGGACCAGTGTATTTGGGTAGTTTGATTCCAAAAAGTCCTCCCAGCTGTGACGACCCGATGTGCACCGATACACCAGCAGTAAATCCGGAGACGAACTGCTCGCTAAGGAAAACGCTCAAACCTCCCATGTTCAGTACACCCATGACGAGCTGGAAAGAATATTGACCTGATGACAGAGATGCATCGGAGCCGCGATGCTCTCCAAGGTTCGTAGCTTATTCCCTCTGGACATCGGACCTGGAAAATTCCGACGAAGAATGCCAGCGTCGTGACAACGGTAACGGCGTACTCATCCCCATCCCGATCGAACTCCTTCGATGCCCGTTGTACGACGCCGGATGTCATCACGCAAACTACCGCGAACGCTCCAATCGAGTTATGACGCGAAGTGCCGAAAATCGAGTACATTAACATGGGGAAGATCGCCGTGTAGAGGCCGTTGATAGGGTTCACCCCTACGAGAAGTGAGTAGCCGAGAGCTGCAAGGTGGATGTGGAGTTCTGAATTTCGCTTAGGAATAATTCCGCGATTCAGCATATCTGCAGTTCGTCCCTGAGTTTTATGAATGAATCGCGCCGAAGCTCACTCTGAGGTACATGGAAGATGGCCACTGTGAGTCCACATATGACGTCAGCGAATAGGTCCGCTTTGATGTTATAGTGGCCCAGCCAGGTGATGATCGGGAAAAACGCCAGGAGCCGAGTTTTGATGTTTCTCGAGGAAAGTTTCTCTTTGGCGACTTTCTTCGCCAGAGCGGACTTCGTAGGCTTCTCTGGAAGGAAGCTCTGTCTCATCGTACTGAGTGTATCTGATATGAACCAGGGAAAGGGAAATGATCCCTCGGGATGAGATCAGCTCGGCGGATCTTTTACTCCCGAGAGTCGCGTCGGGCATGAGGGGCTCGAGTACGTCGTCGTGATTGTAGCTGTCAGTCTGCTTCCGAGCCGTTTGCCGTGATACAGTTGACAACCGGGAACGGAAGGCGGACGCTTTCGGTTCTAGATGTGACCTGCTGGAGATCGTGCTCGAAATCGGGTATCCGGTAGGATCAGATCCTCTTGCACTGACCTTTGACAATTTGTTCGTGGAAGTCATTGAAGTTCGGCTGATCGAAAACTGGCCTGCATATAGGAGTCTCCGAGCTCTCCGAGCAGCATTTCCTTAGCTTCTTGAAGTCTTCTCCGCTGAAGTTATGCTTGCGAACTCCATCGTGGCTGTGGTGTTCGTTTGACTGGATGATCCTGTTTGCGAGTTCAGAGAACTTCATGACCGAAACTTTTCTACGGTAGTATCAGATGTGCACTACGAGTGAATTCCTTCCACGCATGATTGGCTAACAGCACTAATTTTTCCAGAAGCAGGTCTTAGAAGAGAACACGACGTTTGGAAATCTTCATTCCTTTCTTCTACAGTTCTTTCACGTGTCGTAAGATTCTCGAACCTCCCTTCGCGCGTTTTTACAGCAGGTCAAAGATGACCGGAAAGAGAAACGTGAGAGATCATTGAAGCTCAGCTGATCGTTCTGGGCTCGCGGATTCACTTCATGTGAGACGTGCACTGTTGTTTTCCTCTCCAGAGTTCCTTTTTTTGTAGCCGGCAGTGAAAGCCGCGAATCTAGCCTCAAGAATCACTCACGTCTTCGCCATCCTTTTCGCGTCGTGACCCAAGTTCGAAAGGAGAACCGAACGCTGGATAATGCTGACTGGGACCTTTAAAACATTTTGATAGCTCTCCCGAAAGCTCATAACGTAGTCATAGGTCGAGAATGTCAATCGGGCACTTGATCGTGATCACTGGAGCTAGAAACTTTTTTGTACCGGTGTTGTACCACAAATACCCATGCCTTCCTCGACAAACTCATTCCGATTGTTCTTGCCCATTATAGCTTGACCGAGCCGGAATCCCTAGCTAGCCAACCGAGAAACCAAACGGGGATTCCGAGAGGAGACCGTGGCCCGGGTATGCTCATGAATAAACAATCCACGGAAAAAAATCCATCGTCGAACAATATGGGATTGGTCTCATGATCTGAGGCGCTTTGGAGGAAAGCTACGCTGCCGAAAACGCTTCGGAACGCGGACTCTTGAGCCTCCGGGTGGCGATCATCGCAATGCGAATCTCAATCGGCGGTATCGAGATCATCTTCGTGAATGATCAGCTCAGCGGTACCAGAATCAACGTGACCTACCCGACGGCAGCTCAGGATTCCTGCTCAGTGGCGTGCCCAGGGGGGAAAGGGGCCTTGCCCCCCCCAAGATCTCTCTCCGGCCCATGGGGCTCCATGTCGAGGCTCACCATCATCGGTGATGTGCCCCTCCCTAGGCGATGGCTCTGCCCACTCCCCCTTCCGAGCCCAAAAAAATCTGGGCATCCGCCTGTTCCTGCTTGGGTGGTAATCGGAGGGATATCAAGATCTCTTGTGATCATGCCAAGAAAAATATCCACGGAATCCTAGAAAGAATCATCGCGGAGTGCTAATTCCGTGACATCTTTGAAGACATTTGCGTCGTCTCTGAAACCCGGGGGTATCGCGGAGCCCACTTTGAGTACTTCTTCGAGTGGGGTCGCAAATAGAATGAAGGACTCGACGGAAGAAGGGTTATGATGTGAACGTATGGTCCGGCGGGGCCTTGCGTCGTCTCTGTCTCCCGTCGACTCCTGTCTCCCGAGCAAACTAGCCGTCCCGTCCAAGATTGAAGCTACGGAATGGATACTCGAGATCAGACATACACCGAGTGCTTAGCATTCAATTGGGAATCTAAGTGGACTCATTGAGAAGACATGAAATCGAGTTCTTCAACCAATTGGTTTATTAGAAGTCCGCGGCTGGAGCTTCAGCAGCCCAGTCGGAAACCTTGGAAGCGCCCCAGTCGTCGGCAACGGCAGGCACAGCGGCGGCTGGCACAGGGGCGACTACACTCACTCCTGCGACAACACCGGCCGGAGCAGCAGCAGCAGGAGTGGCCCAGTCGTCGACGATAATAGCCTCGGGGGTGTACTCGGTTGTGAAGTCTTCGGCGGTAATCAAAGTCGCAACCGGTCCGGCGGCTTCAAGCGCAGCCTGTTCCTCTTTCTTAGCCTCTTCGGGGTCGCGGTAGATGAACATGTCGACCTTCGTTTCCCATGGCATCTCTCGAGGGACAGAGCCGCGCATGCGGAGAACCTCACGAGTGAGGAGCCACCACATCAGACCGATGGATGCCGCTCCCTTGTTGTTGCAGGGAATCGCGATGTCGACGTAACGCAGGTTCGAGTCGGTCTGGCAGAAGGCGATGACGGGGATGTTCGAATACGAAGCCTCCTCGATGGGCTGGTGGTCCGCTCCCGGATCGCAGACGACGAGGAGACGGGGTTCCTTGAAAGCCTGAAAAGAGGATGTTTCGATTTGAGGAGCGGAAAGCATGATTCCGAGCGGAGACGGTGGCCGAGTTCCATCGATAGATGGCGAATCTCCTCCCAATCTCGGGGAATTGTAGACTCCTACACTACGGCGAACGTCAGATAGTGCCTCACGGCCGGACGTCCGCCAACTCTCGAGGCGCCTCCTTCTGTCCGAATAATCTTCGACCTCAGAACGAGATTTCGGAAAATTCAGGAGGACAGAAGGTTCGTGTTCCATTGGAATAACACATCGTGCATTTGCGGAAAGCGCGTTGCTAACTCAACCAATGGTGGGACGACATGACGATAATCTCTTCGGACGGCGGTGATTTCGTCGAACGTTCCTCGTATGCCGCTGTCGTTCAGTTTCTAATTGCGGGAGTACCATGATGATTTGTATCTTAACAGTAGCGACTGAGGACACTCACCTGCTGGATCTGATTGGTGAAGGTACCAGGGGTGTAACGTCCAGCGATCGGAGTGGCACCGATGTACTTGGCGAACTTCAGGACGGCTCGCTGTCCAAGAGGCTTGGACTCGCCGGATGAAGACGAACAAGCGATGGCACAGACGTAGCTGGCATCCTCTACGGCGACGATGGCACGGGCCGCGAGAAGGATCTTCTCCCAGGTTTTGCGGAGATCGATCAAATGAACGCCGTCGGAACGTCGTTTGAAGACGTACTGCTCCATTTGGAAGTTGACATTGGTCGAACCAATGTGAGTGTTGGCCGCCAAGAAGTACTTGACGTCCTCTTGCTTCAGCTGAAGATCCTTGTTTCCTTCCGACATCTTTCACAGAAGTTCACTTTGAAGGCGATGAGTAAAGTCAACTTCGCACTGGAATAGGAACTCTCCTAATTAGTTATGAGCGTTTCGTCTCCCCTTAGACCGTCTGGAAACCGAGAGCGAGAGACAACTTTGTGGTTTGCGCTTTGAGATCTGCGACGGGGAAATTTTTCGAGCCGTGGAACATTATGTTCTGCTTCCACGTGGTACACTAGAATCACACGCCGCGCCGGCTTTTCGATGTTTTCGGGGCCAGGTATTCGGATCGATGTCGTCCAGGAACCAAGAAAACGCTCCCGTTTGTCGCTCACGCTCCATCATCGAAGGTCGATTCAATCTATAGAATAATTCCACAAAAATATGCGAAATCTAAATACCTCGATGCCACTTGGAAGGCAGCTCGGCAAAAAAGGACCAATACATGGCTCGCAAGATGGACGCTGACTGCTTCCCGCTAAAACAGCGGGCGGATCCGTGACCGCCTAGCCATGAAGACGAAAGACAAGGACCCGACAATTCTTTCACAACGGAACGTCCTCTCCTCTGCTTATAATGATCGATTCAAAAATATCTGCCCGTTATGAATGAATCGAAGGAGCATACAGATGGCTTCTGAGAACACCCGTCCTCCAACCACCTTTTGCTCTCAGGGCGACCGCCGTCATCCATGTGTCCATGTGGCCATTACTCCTTACGAGTCCTCCCAAATCAAACGCGAGCTTCGTCTTGAATTTCCGCCATCACGAGTGATTTGATTTCTCAATTATTCGTCCTGGGGAAGCGGAATTCCGCAGGTGATGAATGGTGAGCATGCAGACGAACCCCAATGGTTCAAGAACGCGCCCTCCCCTCGATCGTGACGACCGGGGCTTTGACGCAGCCATGCGGAAACACCCTCACTCCCTTGGTGGACGATCTCGACCTTCGTCGATGGGAACTCACCACGAGCAGTTAGCGTCCCAACTGTGGTTTCTGTGTGGGGAATGTGGTTTAAAAGACCGATATATCTGACTCGTGATTTGTGATAATGTGCAGGCGGTCATAAACATGAGCACACGCCTAGGGGGCTCTTGCCGACGCTTCCGCCACGGGCACTCTGCGTGGCTCCAGGAAATCGAGATTCGTCTTGATGACTAGCAAGTCTACAGCTCGGGCAAAATGCTCGACGTCTCGTAATCCAGGCGCGCGCCATCTGTCGACGTTCGAAGTTGACCGCCACTACACTATCGCCGCCTTCATCGGGGACACAGCTGATTGTCTGCAGCTGAGTGAGAAGTGAGAAGGATCTTCACTCGTTTTCGACAAAATTGCGGGAAATGAGCGGAGACTCGGAACTGTGGTAAGCTCAGATTTCTGATATCGGGCTCGGAATTTCATTCGACTCCTCTGACTGGTGTTCTGATTCGTCTTCGGGGATTTCCTCTGGGGTGCAGTTGCTCTCACGCCACAAGGCGCTCCGCTAATTGCAACACCGCGACGTTCAATGTCGAAGTCTTGATTCCCCGAGGCTCCTAGACAGCAAACCGATTCGGCGCAACGAAGTATTCCCGCTCATGATCTTGTCGGGAATCCGATATCTCCCCAATTTGATGACCCCGAGAGTTCAATTTCTCATTCTGAGTTGGACACCAGGGGCTTTCCTAAATGCTCCGGAGGCTTCGTCTGGGGACATTTTGCCGCTCCGAGTTCGCGGGCTACTATGTAGTTTACAAACTTAGCTATTTCCATAGATCAGAGGGCAGTGCCCAGCTGACACAGAGCCGGCATCCCAATGAGCGACCAAAGCGACTCTCTCAAGCACTCGGAGGTGGAACACTCCAACCATCTTTCGGAGTGCATAGGCAGCCTCCTGTTCAGTGCCGAGTACTCCGACGTCACCTTAATCGTTGAAGGCGAGAGTCTTCCGGCACACAAGATCATCTTAGCCTCGTCGTGTGATTACTTCAGGTATGACAGCTCTCGACACTGACGCTAAGAATGAGGAGAATCAAGATCATTAGAGTTTTAGTAAATTAGGAGTCCTGTGATCAGTAGGTCTAGCTAAACTTGTTCGTCTATCTCGAAGGGCTCTCCTCTTCGGAGGAATGCGGGAATCATCTCAGAGGGAAGTCGTTCTGCAAGATGTTCCACTCAAAGCCTTCAAGCTCCTGCTCGGCTACATCTACACCGGACACCTGACTCTCGGGGGAATGAAAGAAGACGCGATCTTGGAAATTCTCGAACTCGCGCATAAATACGGCTTCGAGAAACTCCAAACGGCGCTGTGTCGATATCTCCAAGAAATTCTCTCAGTCCGCAATGTGTGCACCGTTTATGACAAAGCGCAGCTCTACAACATCGATCACCTCATCAAGACTTGTTGTCGCTTCATCGATCGGCACGCGGGCTCCATTCTCCAAAGCGAGGCTTTCCTCCAGCTGTCTGGCACGGCTCTTAAAGAAATGCTATCCAGAGACTCGTTCTTCGCAGAAGAAATCGAGATCTTCGGCGCCGTCAAACGATGGTGCTCGGAGCGTGCAGACGACGAAGACAATGCGGACATCCTCAAAACGGTTCGACTGCCTCTCATTGCCACTGCCGACCTCCTGAGTACTGTGAGAGCTTCGGGTCTGATCCCACCGGATCGCTTGCTCGACGCAATTCAGAAGAAGACCGAGAGCCGAGATATCGATTTGAATTATCGAGGCCTGCTCGTACGGGATGAGAACATCGCCACCGCTAGCCATGGAGCCTGCGTGATCACGGGTAGCCCGAGCCACGACCTCCTGGAGCCGAAGATGTCCCGGAGCTACGACATCGATCGGGGATTCACGAGACACTGCATCGAGGATGAGAAAGGCATCACCATCGAGCTCGGCCAGCCCTCGATCATCAACCACATCTCATTCCGTCTATGGGATAAGGATCCACGCACATATTCGTATTACGTCGAACTTTCCATGAATCTCGAGGATTGGTTTCGAGTCATCGACCATTCGACCTATCCGTGCCGTTCCTTGCAGAGACTCTATTTCGAGGACCGAGTAGTTCGTTACGTCCGAGTTGTTGGAACCCATAACGCAGCGAATAACCTTTTTCATCTGGTGACGTTCGAAGCCATGTACACGGAGATGCCATTCAAGCTCAGTCAGGGAAATTACGTTCCCGAAGAAAATGTAGCTTCTGTGGAGAGGGAAGCCTGTGTGATAGAGGGCGTCAGCCGAAGTCGTCACACTCTCATCAACGGCAACTTCACAGACTACGACTGGGACTCAGGATACACCTGTCATCAGGTTGGCGCTGGTTCAATCGTCGTTCAACTCCCACAGCCGTTCATGGTAGATTCTATCCGGATGTTGCTGTGGGACTGTGACTCCAGATCCTACTCGTATTATATCGAGACTTCCCTTGACCTGCGGGAGTGGACTCGGGTGGCGGATCGGTCTGCGGAGCATTGCCGCTCCTGGCAGATTCTGACCTTCAAGCCCCTGCCGGTGGTCTTCATCAGAATTGTGGGCACCGCCAACACGGCCAATGAGGTAAGATTCCCTGCCGCGAATATAGCTGATTTCCTATGCTTCTTCGAGGTAGTGAGAAAATATCCTTGCCGTACCATCAGCCGGCTTGAGTTGACGGGAACTTTTCCTCGAATCGTTATTTTTCCTTCCAGGTATTCCATTGTGTACACTTTGAGTGCCCTGCTCAAGTGCGAAGTCTCGATGAATGTCCAGCGAGTGGACGAGAAGTCATGGTAGGCGCTCCTGAACAGATGCTCTCCCTTGTTTGAAAAAAGGAACCGATGAAAATGGCTGTTTGACTGCGCTTGGTTCCAAGCCTCTACTCGAGGGCAGATGGATGTCGATCGATCGCCCAGATAGTATCAGCGAACTAGTGGATCTGCTTTGCGGTAGGGCGTGTCCGGAACGATGCGGATCGGATGCACGCACCGACCTTAGGTTTCCGACAACTAGCGGCTCACCCCAGTCCATAGAGGAAAAGTTCAGATACATATACTCGTTCATTGAGGAAGAACTCGCACCCGAGGAATTAAGTATGTGCGTTGATGTTCCGATAGGCGTTACGATACTGCAATATGACCGGCTTATTAGCGAGTTGCTTATGACAGGGAATCGCGCTCATTTCCCTCATCCATCTGCGTCCTACTAAGGAAAACTGGTTATGCGAGAGATTTGCATATAGAAAGCGAGTTTTGTTCCCCCGAGAGGTCTCTCGAGTGGGATTCGATATTCGACGTTTGGGCGCCTCGCCCGATTGACCCAGAACAAGTTTCGTGGCGTTTGGAGACTCTGATGCTGGAGGATTGTTTGCTAGCACTGAATACAGACTCGCATGCGGACTCGGCAAATATACGACGAAAAGCTTCCTCACTTATTAGGCAGTATTGTTATGCCTACGATCTTCTGGATGACCTCTACAAGTAGAATGCGTTAGAGCAGTTGCCCCAAAGCTTTTTGCAGAAACTGACCTCGGTCTGCTCAGAACTGTTCCGAATTCATTAGACTGAATGTTTTTCGCCTTTTTATGAGACATCCTACGTCCTCTTAGACGTAGGTTTAGGGTTCATTGGTTTTGGGAAGACACCCAAGAAACCTGGCTCCGGTGTTCTTTTTTTGCTCCATGGACCAGGAAGTCAGGCCCTGAGTTTGAGGAAACAAGTAAAATGCCCTCGACGCGCTTGATTTCTTTAGGTTAACTAGATCGAAGTTTACTCTTGTTCATTGAAACCACAGACCTACCGATGCTTATGCCTTCGAGAATTTCTGGTGGTTGCTCCTTGTGATTATTAGGTATATTAGCCCTTCCTTACTCCCATCTCGGATTTTCCGATATCTGTGATTACATGTAAATAAAAGTTCACGTTTCGCGAGAGCTAATTTCCATCATTCCATCGAGAAGACATATTTGATACTCCGAGAACCGATGCCGAAGAAACAGCCGAGCGGATCAATATTCTGTTTTTATCGAATTTCGCCGCCTGTGTTCACCTCATTCTACAAGAGATCGACGCAGAAATAATGGAGTGGACATTCACGATCCCGGAAGCTCGTTGAACATCAGAGCGTCATGCTCTTGTTCTTCGCTTGAGCGCTCGCGTATCGGGTCCGGCTCGAACTTTGAAAGGTAGTCTAGCTTGTCTTGATGTATGAAAAGCATCGGCGAGAGTCTGTCCGTACAGCATTCGCACATCTGCAACCATAGAGCTCAAATCAGTGGAGAGTTGTTCAACGAGGGTGGTCAAGCGTTTGAACGTGAAGCAAAGTCTCGTACTCGCAACTCACCTCATCAAAGCTGTGCTCACAAAGGTTTTTGAGACTCATGATTGTCCTCGAAATCCTACAAAGTTTGCGAAAAGCTAAACAATGGAGGTGGTCGTGTTTGGCATAAGAAATCCTGTCGAATCCCAGTTGGGACAACGCGTTCCGCCAGCTTTTGACCATATCCTGATTCTTCTGCTGATGCTTCGAGTCGGGCGTGACCACAACCAAAATACCTGCGAGAGATCGTTCAGATCGTAGAGATGAGGAGCTGAGCGATTCATGAGGCTCGATTAGGTGATAAATTTTACTGTGGCCGGAATGGGCTCGCGAACGTAAAGTTCCACTTGGCGTACCATCGTCTCTGAGCACTCGATACGCTCGGTGCACGGCGGAGAGTCTCAATCTAGAGTCCGGCAGATACTCCAGCAGGAGACTGAATATCACCGCGTGGAAGTAATTCGATGGGAGACACTTGATGCAATTCTCGGACACGACGAATTCATTCCCGAGAGGAACATTGATGAAATCACATTGGAAAACTCCCTGGGTCGCTGTAATCATTCATCATCTCATTTTCATCGTCGTCTCTCGTCGTGCGATCATTCGCACGTGCCAGCGAATGCTCCCTCGGTATAGCTCCCGCGCTCAATCCGTCCGGGGTTTCCTCACCTGGGCAGAGATCTATCGCTGTGACATCGAATTTGAACCTCGCGAAGGGGTTGTAACAGCTTCCTACGTCCAGAACTTTCAGCTCATTCTCGGGAACTGATTTTGGGAGAGTTTCCTGACAAGAGGAGTATTGAGCCGGTCAAAATCATGATTCGGCCCATTAGCAATAATTGATTCTGTCATTCTACCATATTTTCCCTGTTGCTTCTTCGTCCCCGAACAGCTTCCGAAGCGATCCACCTTCTCAGGTGCGCTGGAGATCGAGGAATACTTCCGGTGCATTCTCCGGAAAACTTTCTGTAAGCCTCCTCCCATGAAGTAGTTCATGATCACGTTCCCGATGATTTCGATTCTGTCCCCTCCTGCGGATTTAGAGGCCCACACCTCTGTCGCCAGGGAGTGCATGGCTGAGGCATATTTCGAACGCACGGGATCCGCGTTGTGTTCTTCCCATATTTTCAGATAGGAATCCGGATCTGAGAAATAGTCATGGAAGGAGATCTAGACTTCTTCATTCCCATTTGCTTCGGTGGTAACTTCTGATTCATCGTGGAAACCTATATAATTATCTCTTGGACTCTGCCCCATGTATAGCCGAAGGAGATCCCTTTAACAAATTATTATACCTTTCTGAACTTTGTAACGCAGCTCTTCGTGAACGTTTCGTATGGCAGCGACGAGTTCCAGCTGCCGACTTTTTCCCTCGGCGCCATTCATTATCGTATGCCTCAGAGTTGCTAGCCGAACTTCACAGTCGCAGGTATATATGCCTGACTGCAAAAACGCAGGAGGGATCCTCGACCAGCTGATCTCCCAGCGTCAAAGATAGTGCGACTATTCCGTGGTGACACCCTGTGTTTCGCGGTTTCGAAGGTAAACCATCAAAAGCACATGACCTTCAATGACGCGATGGAGTCATCATCCAGGCGTCCAGTGATGAAGTGGAAGGGAGCTACAACTTCTGTCCTACATAATACGAAATAGCCTGCCAATGGCCCTCTGCCGCGATCCCGATGCCTTAGCGTCTTGTTGGAATACGGATGTCGCTGATTTTCGCCACCACGGCTCTATGCGTCGTCAGATGTACGAGATCACTCGCATGGTAGGCCGGCGTTTCGCGGGGAGAAGTGTAGGGAAACTCTGCGCGAGACTCGATCGACTCCAAGATGTGTTCGGGAAAGAAAATGATGCCTGATGATCTCTGCCTGCGAACCAATGGAGTGGGTTCTCCCTGCAACAGTCGATCTGTTGCAGCGAAGCCGAGTATACCAGCGAAAATAGGAGTGAAAGGACCGATGGGGACATCCAGTCTCGTATTCGGTGATCTCCGAGCAGCTTAATCCGTTTTATCATGAGCAGATACAGGGATGATCTCCTATGCTGTGTCATGGAGGGTTCTCACTATAGAGCGCCGGGAGTCCGCGCGGATGGATGCACGAGGCGCGACCGAAAGTCCCCGTCTTGACGGCCGAATTAACTCGCGACTCATTGCTCTCCGGATACGCGCGAGCCTTTTCAAGGACCCGCATTATTCTACCGAGCCTCTCGGGAGCATTGTGCTCGACTTCGAAGTTCCTCACGTCGCGTCGACAGTTTCCCCGCAGCTAGTGTACACTCTGTGGTATCATCGAAAGACTTCCGTGAATCCCCACAAATGAGTAATAGCTCTAATCGGAAGGTCTCACCCACGAAGGGTTCTCGAATAAAGACTCATTCTCCGCATTGAGGTGAGATCCTGCGCACGGACGGATCACCGTATTCACGGGAATCCGCAGTCAAGCTGTCTCTGGGCTGCTCTGCGGGGAGGTGCGGGAAGGATGTGCGAAGAGGAATCGAAACGGATTTCCTCGACGCTACCCCCGAGAAATCCCGGTCAATATTATCGCGGTCAATGATTAACAGAATCGAAAATTCGACTTCGGAGGTATCTAGGGGGGGAGAGCGCCCAGATCTTGCTCGGGCTCTGGGGAAAAATCATCAGCAACATTGTACGCATACTGTCCCAGCGAAAGAATGAATTTTTCGTTCTTCGCATTCCTTCTGAGGATTCCCGTGCACATGCCTCTATTATACGGTTTCTCGAGAATTCGCGCAAGCTCATGAGCCGAATCGCTTGCCAATGGGCACTGGATGTACCACAGAATGGAAGGAGAGAGCGTTTCGAGATAGAGCAGGAGTGAAACAGTCTGCAGCTGCTGATGTAAACAGAGAACATCACAACAAAGAAGAATTGTGATTCCTTTGATTCCGAGTTCTCTGCGGAAATCCTTTTTCAGCATGATGACCAATAGCTGAACTCTAAGAAAGACGTTTCTTCGTTGTATGTAAGGGAGGCTCCTTTCTGTTCGCGGAGAGTGTGCTTTTCCTGTGCGACGGTAAGTTCTGCGGCTCCTCACCTGAGAGCAACAATCAGAATCTACAGGAGGGAGCCGTCAAGTTATGGTCATGTCATATGACCAAGCCCTGACTGGGGACTCGCCAAACCCTTGCGGACATGTCGAATTAGATATCCTCAAATTGTGAATTCGAAGAGAAAGTTCTGGAGAGCGGGGGAATTCGTCGCAAATAGCTGACGCGAACCAACATCGAGCCAGTGTACGACGCCGGTCAGCCTGTCAAGTTTGAGAAGAGCGCGAGCGCAAGTACGGTCTCGAATGAAATATACGCGGTGACGAGTCCATAAGGCCAATGCGAATGTTTCAGATGGAGCGTGTCAGGCGCATCGTTCGGCGCGGGATCATAGACATTGTACCATTCTACAGTATGATGTGAGCCCTCCCGTCACGTTACCCGCAACGCCTCTTGACCACTTGCGTTCGAGTCGGCATGATCATGTTGAATACGAAGCGTCACCGTGTCGACCGAATCCTCCAATACTGATAGTCTCAATTTCCAGAGTTCGGCGACGAGGATTAGCATTATGCCTACTTCTCACTATTTTCTTCCTCCTATATTCGGCGCCTTCAATGTTCCGCTACGTTCGGCGGAGAGCACCTTACATAATGAGTGAGTGCGTTTCTCGAATCAAGTACTCATTTGTAACTCTGGCTGGAAAGAGGCGTGCCGATATATTCGACCGTCGATGCTTCCCCGAAGGACGCTCCGAGAAGTTCCCATCGGAAGAGAGCTCCTTCCCTCGTCTGACATTTGAGTCATCAGCGGAACCCTGCCACGATTCCATTGCGCCATCTGCTAATTTTTCTCGCTCACCGTGTCTCCATAGATCCCAGCTTAAATGCGATGATGATACAGATCGAGGATTTCGAGAAGGATGCTGCCAAATTCGACGCTCACATCCAGCGCACTTTCGATCATGAAGATGTGCCTTTGGTTCCACTAGTAGGGAACGGGTACATCGGCTACGAAGCGTCGAGCGATCAGCTGCTTATATTTAATGACCGAACGCTTTCAACCTTCCTCCCGTTGTCTCCAGTAGCTCGGACAGCTTCCGAGAAAGAAGACGAAAGCAATCACCGTGAGTTTCCCCAGGCCGAGCGTATGAATTCCAGAGCCTCACTTTTTCTCCCAGGCGTTAACTGAATCGGAATAGATTCGAGGACCCTGAAATAATTCCCAATAATCGAGCCGTAAACTGAAAATTCCCCGTCGTTCCAGTCACCCATGTGATCCACTTTCTGAACGGGAAATTAATCAAAGTGGAGTCGCACGATGTTTCGAGCAATCAATTCATCATCCGACACGATGTCTTGGCTCACAGAAAAGAGAGCGGAGTCTTGATACAGGAAATCAGTATCAGCAACGGTGGCAGAGATGACACACGTTTGGACTGGCAGCAGAATTTGAAAAATCTGCAAGCTTTCGATGTTCGCAACCTCGGGTGAGTCGGACACGCTTGTCATGCTACCTCACTTTCAGCACTGGGGCGTCCGAGCTGCTGGTCGGATCGAGGTCCTGAGGGGAACTTTCATGAGAGCTTTGTTCCATGCAGTCGTCGGATGGGAGACACGGATCACATCCAGATCACCGGGAAAATCGCTGTGGGGAAGAAGTTCTCCGCGTTCTCCCTGATTGCTCCGAAACTCAGGGAAGTCTCGGTCGGGTCCAAGAGCGTCAAACGACTACAGCTCGTGTCCGTGTTGCAGTATTCAAAGCTTGTGAACCTTCAAGAGATCAAGGCTGCTCAGCTTAACGTCGAGAATCAAGCCAAAAAAGAATTCGACAGGGTCATCGCCCGAGATGTCTCGAGTTTGATAGCTGAGCATAACGATGCTTGGCAAAAGGTGCGTTCGATTCCCCGCCATCGACCTATCGATTTTTCCAGAGTTCTCCGCCTCTAAAACGCAGAATTCTTCGCGTGCAGGTGTGGAAGTCAGGTCTTTCAATCTCGCTGTCTAAGGCAGACAACGCCCTCAATGGTGACCGAATAAATGCAACTCTGTACTACGTGCTTTCGAACACGCCCAACGCTCCAACGGAGAAAACTGATCTGGCTTCACTGGGCAAGCACTGCTACAAGGGCCATCACACTCTGTGAGTTGACACCGATCAAATTGGCCGAGGGAAGTACCCCCGCGTACGATCGGAGACAATATATTGTTATCGTCAAAGTTTGAGAAGAGAATCTCTCGAAATCTTTCAGGAACGCGAAGACCCTCTGGCCGACCGATCTCAGCAGGCCGAATGTTCTCCTGAAAACTATTCATTTATGGCAATTGACCCTCGCTAAGCGAGGCTGTGAAGATCTGGTCATGCGGGGAGGTCCGCACGGTGCCATGCAGGCAATGCTCATGAGTTTCGGGCAGTTCTTCTTCCACGAGGGTCACCTGGAGTTCGCAACGCCCCCCGAGGATCTCCACCGAGATTTCCACTACAGGAACCTCATGCTGTTCGGAGCTGATAATTGGCTCAACGTCAGCGTCACTGTGAACAGCGAGAACAAAGCTGTGCTCACAGTTCACGCGGACTCAAACGAGGAGGTGTATGCGTGCGATGGAGGCTGTCTCGACGATCCCGTCACCATCAGGTTCGTACAAAGCCGTGCCTGATAGAAGTCTGGCACCTCCAACCCCCACCCCTCCGTCGAAAATTTCGCATCCGGATCGATCCCCACCTGCCACTTCAATGTCTAGTTCTCTCGCTAAGATCCGTTGTGTTATTTCGCAGCGTCGTCGGTACCCAAGTGGAACTACCAGTGAAGCGAACGCTACCCCCCACCGCGGTTCTGTACGTTGCTCGCAGTAAACAACATCTAGAAGAACTGAAGCACACTCTTCATGTACACGAGGTCGTTGAAGCTCCGGCCCATGAAGACCACCTCCTCGCTATGCATCGCGAGGGCAACCAATTGGGCGGGCTGCCCGCTCTGTTCTGGGCCACGTTCGCTTTCCTAGTTGTTTGTTTCCATTTGTTCCTAGCCCGGATAATCTACAACGAGTATTTCGCGAAGAGTCAGTATTCCTATTCGGGATTGGACTCGAAGAAATACGTGGCTTGATTTCTCGCTATCCGATTACTTGCTGTGAATCTGTGCCTCCCTCAAGTTACGAGGTCTAGATGGCATCCAGACGTTGAGGGGACCGGAGTCTGATTATCTTTCTATTATGGAGCGAAATTGGATCGAGCGGGAATTCCCATTGGCTACTAACGGAGCGGGGATTCGTTCTCTTCTCCCTTGCGCTGGTGGTTTCTGTCCCACTCCACCGGAGCTGAGCTACGTTTCAAGCTTATTTGTTTTGCATCTCGAGAGTAGCGGAACGTCGGCTTCTGGACGTGGCGGATACCTGGTGATATTTTCTAAGCATCTTATTCAGAGAGAGGGGGAACCCATCCCTCAATATCGAGTGTACTCCGACTTAGGTGCATTTCCAAAGGATACGCAAAGTTGTAAATATCAATGTAAATAAACCGAAGATTCATCGAGTGCGAATGGTGGAGCTGTACGGTCTTGTGAAACTCCTGGGACATAACGCATTACTCCACGAAAATTACGCATCTGACAAATCTAACTCCCGAGCCCCATGTCGTTCTTTGATTTTGGAGTCCTTACTCCGGAAAATGGGTTACCGCTAGGCTGATGGCTCCCGAACGCCGGGTAGCCTGGATTTGGGGTGTTTCTCGGAGCAGACACGAGCCTTGTCAGAACCTGTCGAAAATGATTTCGGGGTGCTTACAGATCCCTCTAAGGGATACGAGAAATCCTCCATCCTATAGAGCTCGCGTGCTCCTGGGCTCGAGGTCGGAAAGAGTCTGCCTAGGTAGCCGCATGGTACAGAAATCGAATCGCTGGCCAGTACTGGCGCTCGACTCTTTTCGAGCCAGCCAAGATATCTGGCGTCCGCTAGCTGGACCGGTTGGCTGGGGCCCGAGCGAGGAACGAGAGAAATCATTTGTCAGTCTGATGGCAGGTCGGAGGAGAAAAAAAACAGGAGTGTTGGCTTCGTGTCTCCTCATCCGTATATTTCAAATATTCGCACCATGTTCGCATCATGTGCTTCTTTTACTCCTGTGGCATTTTACAGAACTTTGTACAGGTGTTCAAAATACACATAACGTCTGTCTTTCTTCTCTGCCGGCCCGTTTTGGCGATGACTGTCGACCGGATAATTTACCACGTAATATTCATACTACAAATATCAATAGAATTTCTTTGAAATATCTTAAATATACATAAGTTCCTCTATCAGAAAGCTCCTAATGCCTGGTATCTTCATCATCTCTTGACCTGCGATGCCATCTTCCAAAGTGAGCAGCCGTTGTTGCTTGGCGCAGCAAGCTGCTGGGGTGCCTGCAGCTGTTTGGCCAGCATTTCTGCCAGCTGCTTTCGTTTAAATCTGTTCGCCTCGATTATGAGCCGCTCGACGAGATTCGGGAAAACTGGTTGACTTTTCGCGTTGGATAGCAGATTGAACAATTCTGTGAAATCTGAAAAAGAAGAAGGAGATCTCAGTACGGGGAACGGAGGCCAAGAGCCCTTGCTGAATCATCACGCCGTCCGAGGGGAACGGAGCCGAGCCAGAATTTCAAGGAAGGAAAGCCCTCTTTTCCCCTCTCCCCTGAAGGAAGGAAAATGAGGCTGCGCCTACCTTTGCCAGGTCTCCGGACGCATTTTATAGCGGATTTGGTGAGTTTTTCGCAGTCCTCCCTGCTCATGACAACGATTTCTTTCTTGGGTTCTTCCGAAAAACCATTTAATAGTTTGCTCTTGGGTTTCGTTCGCGAGAACGGCGCCACGTTGCCGTTGGGAGGAGGCTGTTGCAGAGACGAAGGTGCGTTGAGTTCACCGCCGACGGTTGCGGCGGGAACGACTCCCTGACCAGGGCCCAAGATGGGACTGTTGTGCACAAGCTGCATCAGTGGATGCTGTGATGCCACCACAGGCACCGCAGCCGGTGGCGCAACCGGTGCCGGAGGCGGTGCTAGAGCTCCAATCGGGGAGAAAACGGCACAGCCTGTGGGATATCGAGCGAAACGTTATTTTCCGCCGAAAATTCCTGTTCTGCTCATTTGAGACTTGATTGGGATCCGGGATGGGAGCACCGAGCGGCGAGCGCCGACACCATAAATACGATCGGGGGAAAGGACGGAAACAGTTGGAAGTGAGAAAACAAAAATACGGTAGCTTGCTCACCATTCATTTCGATGGGCAGTGTTTCCGGCTTGACGACATTGTTGTTGTTGACATTGCTCGCCGGTCTGGCATCCCCGTTGAGATCCTGCGCCGGATTATGGAAGGCAGAAGGAGCGACCGCGAGAGGGGATGAACTCGGCGTCGCTTGCTGTTGAAGTGTCAGAGAACCCTGCGGGTGCGGGCTCTGGTCGGGAGAAGGTGAAGGACACGGTGAACTGTTGGGAGACGTTGACGGGGAAGACATGGACGACACCGACGGAGATCGCGGTCGTAGGATGAGGTCCTTGGGCAAAGGACCTTTCGGTCTTTTTGGTCTTCCTTGTGAAGCTGCGCCTAACGAATCGGCTGGACGTTTCCTGTTCATGATAAACCCTGAGCCAGAAGTGGAGTTGGCCAGTCCGACAGGATCTGGAGCATCGGCTTCGTCGACCATCATTCGTTTATCTATCTTGAATGGATTTCCGAACATGTGCTGTCGGACGGGGGTCGACTCAATTTCTCTCAGGGGTGGCGTCTGCCGTTTCAGGTGCTCCTGATAGTTACCCATCTGGACGATGGGCAACGAATGCAGGGCATCGTCGTCTTGCAGACGGATCGTCCCTAGATGCAGGAGATTCGCGCGCATTCGCCAAATTTGGTTCAGCAGGTGACAGCGAGGAATTTCGAACGGGTTCCGGAACATGTCCCCTTGTGGACCACCGCGTCTGCCAGAGATCTTTTGGACGGCTAGTTGAAAATTGCCGAAATCGTTGAGGTCCGAGCGTATGGACAGGAAGCGATCCTTCAACGCGGGCGAATATGTGAGCTTGAGTTCGGTGAGTTTCGGCGTTTCGCCGGAAGGCCTCGTCAAGCCGGGCAGGACTCGCATCGACTCGGTGACCGGGCGTTTCGCGTTGCCGACGAGAGAGCAGAGCTTTTCGAATTCGGCTTTCGCTTGATTCTTCAGCTTTTTCAGTTGAGAAACAACGGTCGCGTTCAGGCATTGGCCTTCAAGATGCTCGGGCACCAGATTTGGGGCACCCATACGTTGTAGGGCTCTCTTCAGCGGTCCCGCGTAGTACACAGGCATGTTGTGCAGGTATTCTTGGAATCTGGAAGAGGGCAGAGGTATGCAAAGATTAGAGAACGTCCAGTCGACATCCTTCCGGCCGATTTCCGGATCTCCACGGCTTCCAAGCCGAGCGGTTCGCGCGACAACGAGGGCTGCGGCGTCGATCAGATAGAAGTCGAATTCCGAAATTGAAGACGAACTTACTTGTCCCTCCACTCGGGGGGCGCTTTCAGCCTATGCACCTTGAAGAGCTCGTCTAGCAACATGAGCAGCACGGGATAATTGTAGGGCATCACGAATAAATTGACGCACGTCAGCGTCGTGCTCGCTTTCAAATAACCGAACGGACATCCGAGATCGCTGCTCTTGTGCGAGTTGGCGACGAACACTTGCCACGCGACCATTGGTTGCTTCCGCGAGAGGATGAACTGCGTCAAAGGGCTCGGCTCGAGCTCATACTTGTCGAAGGGTAGGCTCTCGATGACCATCGGTTCGGCGTCGGCGCACGAAAAACGTACGAGAGGATGTGCCGTCCGAGGTGGGAGAGCAGGCGAGTTGTGATCTGGCCAAAACGACTCCGGAATAGGCCAGTGACCCACCGAGTATCCTTTGACGGCGGAGCGTTGCACGTAGATGAGTTTCCGACAGGTTTGCCAACCCTTGATTTCCTGAGGTGAAATCTGTGAAGGACCCACAGAAGTCGTCGCGTTCTGCGAGGAATTCGAAGATCCGAACGGGGTCGGAGACGGGCGGTTCGTGACTCCGTTTCGGAGCAAGTTTTCGTCGTTGTCGCTCTGGGAAAGAAAAAAAGTCTCAGAAAAACGCAGTACATCCCCTCGAGTGCAGGACACCGGACCCTTATCCTGGGATTGTGGCTGGACATTGTGTTTGTCAGTGGGAACTCACATTTTGTCCGACTGGAGGCGGATCGGGACCGACTTTCTCGAAATTGATCACAACACCTGGTTGAACTGATTGCACAAGATTTTCTATCGCCAATAGAAGCTGACGCTGCGTCGATACGGAATACGAGCGGCCGCCTGTAACCTCGCACATATCGTTGACAGGGTTCCCGATGTCGGGCGGGGGGACCACCTCCCCTCCTGCAACTGGGGCGATCGTGCCGGCCATTCTCAATACTAATGAGAAAATTCTCTGATCCCAACGGAACGGCTCCTTTGTTAACTCCGAGCCAGGAACTAGACTGTGCATTGGAAGATTCAGCTGGTCTAAGACGCCTGATTGAGACGTCAGTTTGTTCCCATCCGTGAGTACCTGTGAGTGAATCGGGTTAATGCCGCATGTATCTTCATCCGAGAGCTTTTCGACCCATATCTGTGTTATGTCGTTCTTGGCGGGGAAACGATGATAGCGTGCAGGAATAGAGGGAGCTCTCCTTACCACTATCATGCTGGGTTCGAGATAGAATGGACACCGCCCTTGGCCGTATGTGTCAATCCCCGTCTGCATGCGATTCATGTTCAAGAGGTCGAAGGCGTTCTTCAGAGCACCGCCGAGCGACGTCAGGCCGGTGGCCTGAAGGTTCTTGAGCTCTGACATGAACGTCATGTGATTCTCCTTCCAACCCGCCTGAAAGAGGAAAACGCGTGAGTCCCATACGCTGGAAGGTTTCGCGGGGGTGGGATAATTGTTCGGCTTATTCTCAGGAGTTCTCCGGTTGGGGCCATGGAATTGCTTTTCCAGAATTAGGGATGGAGGAAAACGGTATGGTTGAGACCATTCACAGCGTCAAGGATATCATCCGATTCAATCAAAACTACTGCAGGAACCGGAACTTCCGCTCTATCAATCCAGCGCGAGAGGAACTATTCGCGACCGAATAATCTCAATAGGGTCAGAAGACCTAGGTAGCCGCTGGACATGATAGAAACAGCGTAAGCACGCGAGGGATATTTGAAGGCGCAGCTCTTCGTTCTTCGATTCGCGGAAAAGAAAATAAAATAGGAGCTCCTAAGGGTCCCTTGTCTAATGGAACGTATGGAATTCACCGCGATCCATCGCATTATTGCTGAGAGATCTTGATTTTGCAGGAAGTGCCCATAGCTTTGGGAGCAGATCGTCTCCCCGCAGGATGCCGAGCCACCTCGAGGTCGGACAACGCCAATGAGCTGCTCTCTCAAGAGGCAAAATTCAGCAGGATTGTATCCTTTAGAGTCTAAGCGGAGAGAACGGAGCGAAGTTCTACAGTGCTTCATCACAGGCAGGTGGATTGAGTGGTGAATGATCTCATCAGTATTGCGTTTGAAACACTTGAGCAATCGAGCTGACCCAAAAATGCGATCTCGTGGTTGGCTTTTCCGCCCGCTTCCCGCCAGTGAGTCTCACAAGCAAATTACCAGAGGTGATCATTCGCGTCGGCGAGCGGCCTGTTCCGGGCGAGAACCGCACCGACTCCATAATCACTCTCTGCTTCCGATACAGCAGTTCCGAGCAGTACCTCGCCTCAATGCGAGGACGGAGCGAGGACAAGGTTCTGCCTGATCGTCGGTCGTCGTTGTGCTCGTCGGAGATGAGTTCGGCGACAGTACAATGAACGACACACAGGTGGAAAGGAAGAAATCGAGGGATCTCCGAATTCGACGTTTCTCGAAGGTTCAATCGACGTTCCTCCTCCGCCTGGGGCGGGAACTGGGATTCCGTCTCCTGACTCACCTTGATATTGGCGGGGCTTTCTTCGAACGTAAGGAGCATGTATCGATCCTGTCTGGATGCCTGATCTTTCTGCCGCATCTGGAAATCCATTCATTTTTGTTAGCGAGAAAGAAGCCGAGGGGCAGCTTTAACCGTTGACCCGAACGCCCGACATGCCAAGGGCTCCTTGCAGCGTAATCTTTCAGCTCTGTGCACTTGGCGGCGAATTCTTCGGCGGCGAGTTTTTTTTTCGTTTCGACTCGAGTGACCCTGCTGCGAGCAGCTCACATGTTCTCTATTCCGACAGGCCTCGCTGTTCGATCTCCGCTCGAACCGGCTCTCTCTCTCTCCCGCAATGCATCCAGTCCAATTATGATCATGTCGATCTGACGTTCTGCCCATACGCCTCCATGATTAAGAGCAAGCGCGATCGCCGACGGAAGATTTCGAATGGGAATCGGAAAGCTCCAATGAGGTGTCAGTGCACGACAGAGAATACTACTGAGCTTGCTCTCCGCATTGATTCTATGGAGGGTTCAAAATAGGAAAATCATATCCGGACGCAAACACGGGCACGAGCAGTACCCCGATGAGGCTATTTCGAGTTTCGATATACCTCTCGTCAGCTGTAAGCATTATCATTCCTCGGAGAGCGGAGCTCGCCAGCCTGCTCACTGCTCCACATTCAAAATCCAAACCCCTTCTTCTCGATTCCCTCCCCGGCCCTCCGCCGTGGAGAGGGGAAAGGGTCGGAGTCGGGAAATCCAACGAGGGGAGTCGTCTCAAGAGGGAAGCTGAATCGCCACGCACAAACTGCGACAAGACGACTCCATGTCGTCATCGACAAGTATGGGGAAAACGGAATTAATTTTATTGGGGAGATCTCGGCCGAGATGTCTCATGCGTCGCGGTCATCCGCATTTGACTCGACCCAGATCGAGCTGGAGATCTTTTCTCGGAAGAAAGGAAGGGAGGAAGGGAGAAGAAGGCCCGACGGATCGTCGGAGCTCGGAGCTTGGCTCGATTCGAGCTCTCGTCGTGAAAAACTCGGTGACCTGCCCTGTCGTGTTCAAACGTATGAGACGGCGAGAAGGGGAACGAAAGGAGCAGCATAAATATCTCTCCTCACGTATTGCGGAGAGTTTATGCAACGAAGATATTTTCTGAGGGCGTACCTGCCCAGAAGGCTGCGATGTTGAGCGCCTCAGACATTTTGCAAGCTTGTTCGGTCCGTGTCCTCTGGGGACGTACTCTTCCTTTTTTCCAATGAGGACGACTCAAACCCGAGCGACAATCTCTATGCTATTTCGTAATCGAACCAGAACGTCAGCACGAATAGACTAAAACTGATGCCGCTGCCGGTGAATGTGAGGACACGAATTACTTCCGGAACGATGGCAATCTCCAAATCGAGCGATCTAGGGACATCCGGGGCAGACGAAAGCTTCGAAAGGGAGGGAATACGAAAGCCACCGATTGGAACGGGCTTTCGTTTCCTCGTGTACATGTTTCGGTTCCGAGAAGGTTTCGAAAGATAACTGAAGGCCGACCCGTCCGACGGTCCCCTGCTCTGACAAAGGATTTGTGGACTGTCGAGAGCAGAAGGTGAGAAGCCGGAGAACTGACGGAGCAGAAAGCGGCGTGACGAAGAAGGAAATGCTAGGTAGGCCAGGACAACGGAGGGAGCCCGTTCTTCAAACAGGAGCACGGTTCGTCTTTCAGTTCATTTATGACTTTCGGAACTGATTCAGTTTAGGTGTTGTCGACTGACTCACTAAGAGGGACTCAGTGAGCGAGTGAGCGAGCGAGTGAGGAGGCAAGGAACGCATCGGTGAGCGAGAGAAAAAGCGTACGGTGCAAAGCATCCGGATGAACTTTTTAGAAGAGATTGTTGTCGGGACGTCGTCGACGTTTTTTGTTGTTATTTTGTGTCACCACTCCAACGGCTGTGGCCCCTCTCTATCTAGCGGAGTTTTCCGCTGAGCTGAATGGGACGGCTGATCAGGTTCGGGCGCGCGCACTCCCTCCGCCGAAGTCTACTCCCCGAGCGCATCTCCACCTTTGGGAAGGGGATAGGGTTGGGGACGGGGTTCATTTCCCCGTCATTCTGGCGGCCAAGAAATTCCCGAAATTCCGTACGGGGACCCAGATTATCTGGCCGGGGCTAGACTTTCGACTTAGAGCATTGGGCGCATCCGAACTCGTTTCGAAGCTCTTGAATGTTTCGAAGAGAACTCCCCCATCCCCTAAAGCTGGGAATTAATGAGGAAAGCTCTCGTGCAGTCGGTTTGGAGCCGTGAAGCGGGTCTCCTCGGTGGATATTGCTTTGAGCTAGCTAGCTGGCTGGATAGTTGGATAGCTGACTGACTGACTGACTGGTTGGCTAAATGACTGGATTGTTGGCACACTCGCTCACTCACTGGATCCGTGGTGGTCGTGTCAGGTATCGAACTATGTCTTGTAACTTGTGGGAGCGTAACCTTATCCCGCTCAATGCACTTGTCCCCGATCATCACGTATCCGATTGAACCGGAGGAACAATATCGAGCGATAGTTTCGCGGAGCACTTCACTTACCTTGAGGAAACGTTCGACTGCATCCTTGGCCACATCGAGGACCGAGAGTCGGGCTCCAAGATAGGTCCGCTGGCTCATCGACGCCGAAGTGTCGACCAAGAACAGGATTATGGTCATTGTTGATGGCGGCAACCTGGTCGATGGTCGTGCTTTGCCCGATCCTTATCCACAGTTAGTAAGTCGCGGCGGCGGCGGCGGCAGCAGCAACAACAGCAGCAGCAGCACAACGACCACTACCACCACCAACAGCAGCAGCAGCAGTAGTAGCAAGGGACACTACCACTAGAACAACAACAACGACGACACCACCAGCGCAAGAAGCTGCACTAGCAACAGCGGTCAGAAAAGTATACTAGAATAACGAGAAATGGATGCCGCCGCGGAAATACTGCTGCAGCACCACCAGCACACTCCGCTCCGCAGTCGATCGCCAGCCGTGGCACATTGCGCTCCCTTCTGATGACAACATCGGGCCCACGAGGGCCCGGTCCCTAACCGCACTCTCGCACGCGGGTTCCGCTCCTGGACAACGTTTCGACACGTCCGACGTAACGAGCAGCCGTCAGCTCGCTCAGATCTCCGTTCAAATCGAGTTCAACACTTGCAGGCGGCCAACAAGAAAACAACGCGGCTCGCGGACTGGCACACTTCTCCCGTGACGGCTCGCTCGAATCTGCTGGCTGTGGCGGCGGCCGGGAAGACTTCATTGGGCTGACGGGAGAGGGTGCGCGCGGGTTTCGGAGGCGGTGAATCGTTTCTGTGCTCTGGATCCGCTATTCACTCGCTCGCCAGCGGCTCGCAAAGCAGGCTGCAGCCAACAGCGTCGTCGTCGTCGTCGTCGCGGGCTCTCTGTTTCTTGGTGGTGGTGATTCGCCATTCGCCAACCTAGCAAGCCCACAAGCCGCGAGTGGACGAATGGATAGCAGCCGACGGCTTCCTTGCTGCGAGCTCGCTCAGTGCTGGCGACGCAGCATTCAACGTTCGTTCTCGTCGGTCGGTCGGTCGTCTTTCGGTCGGTTGCTCGTTCGCTAGAAGCCACGGCAGGTCGGAGAGTTTGCCGCGACCCTCGTAAGACAGTGCTGCCAAGACCTTAGCGTCGACGGTCGAGCCGTACTTCTGGACCGAGCGAGGACGAATTTCAGCTTGAAAAACGGTTTTCTGAAATGAGTTCGCTCGCCATTGCTGACTCTCGCCAACGTGCCGTGCTTGTCTGGTTCTGATGTTCGGAGGCCGCCATCGCGGCTGCCGACGACGTGTGCTTCCGCCTATGCTCGACGCGTGAAGCACAAGAACAGCAACGCTGTCGGTGCTTGCGATCTGCAGCTCGACGCTTTTCAGTGAATGACCGGGGGGACTCGGACTGCGGTGACGTCGACTGACCGCTCGCTCGTTCGTTCCTACCGTCGATTCATATGTCGGTCGACTCCCACTAACAATAAGCGTCGCTCCTATAGCGATCAACCATCACTGGCTCATTTATTACCCAGACACTCGCCCTGAGAGATTATTGGCTTAGAGTTGGAGTTCTAATGGCTGGAGAGAAACTCGTGGGCCCATCAATCGCTCACATGGAGTTCGATGAGCGTCCACGAGGAGTTTCCTCCCATGGAGTCGGGTGGAATTGTTGGCGGAAAACAGGAAAATCACGATCTGGAACCCGACCGGAGATGTGTATATGCACCTAATCAAATAACTCGCTACATCCCACGAAATGTATAAATTGTTTCGAAGAGGGTGATTCGTCGTGGTACGTATGAGAATACCCGCTCTTGGCGCAGTCGCGAACAACTGGCAAAGCTCCTTCCTCTATGTCCGGATTTGTAGGTGCTGGCTTGTCGACATCAGATACTCGTAAATATCATGCTTCCGATCCATCCGTTCCTCTGAGACATCTAGAGCTCGAGTGGGCCGAACGCAAGATTCGAAGTAACCCACAGGAGTCAAGAAAGCATTGAATTCGCCTCGGTCGACTCGAATATCATTGTAATGAGCGAGATATTCCAAGATAGATCCAGCTAGAGCTCCATTATTGAGTCACGATCCGATTTTCGTCCATCGAGACCAGATATGGAATTCCCTAGGAGCTCTGAGACGCCAAACCTGGGGCACGCTGGGAGGCTAAGGAATAATCTCGCGTGTCTCGGGAACGACCAGACTGCAAATTAATTCACAGTCCTCAGGCAAACTCGAGTCAGTAGACTTCGGTCATCAGCGGTCGCAGACGAATGTTTAGTGAGCGCTGATGGCGATGATCTCTGTTTGAAAATAAGCATTCTCCAAGGCTTTCCGCAATCCTACCGCCCCATCTCATCTCCGACAAAACTCTTGAAGAAAGCATGCTCGACTTTTACTTAGTCACGGTGCTCCCGAAAATCGTCGTCCTGGTGATAAAGCTCGTATCCCTCAAAACTCGAGCAAAACCTGAGAGATAAAAGTATCACGAGGCGGAATCGAGTGTTGCTACGGAGCCACCGGATCCTTACGTATCTCGGCTTGGGGAGAACGCTCGGTCTGCCGTGTAGTCCAGGGTTCCACGATTCGAACCAGCGCAATGGATTCCAGCAGAAGCAGTCAGTCCGCTTGGCTCTCGCGGATTGAAGCCTTCCCCCCACCTCCTCGTCGACGGATCGTCCTCGATGACGATAGAATAGGACATTGGGGAATGGATCATCGAGAGGGACATACCTAACTCATTTGATGGCAAAGTTCCCAGACCGGCCCTCACCTCAATACTTCATACTTCAGGAGAATCATCCAGTCATCGCTCCCGGGAAGCTATCTGGCGCCAGTTTGATGAGCCCGTCTCAACGATGTTCTGCGCCGAAACTCCCTGAGCCGATCTCCGACTTCGGGAAAAGTATCCGTCGACTGCAGAGGATTGCGATGGGAGGGACCATGCAGATATGTTTATGCAATAGATGCACCGAGTTCATTGACGATTCCATATCGCCAGATCCTCGCCTTGGTACCCATGTAGCACCATATAAACACTCATCCACAGATGGCTGTTATGTGAAGGAGTCCTCCGCGTTTCATAAACTTCTGAGCGTAGCTTCCGGGTCGCTTTCAAGCTTCATATCGAGTGATTCCAAACAGCGGAACACTTCTAGCGAAGGTTGTACGGCCTCTGGCGAACACCATCTGAGCGGGACTACGATGCGACGACGATTGGAACATTGTATTTATCGGGTGTGTAAGTGGAAGCAAACTTCTGTTCGATGCCGCCCTACAGCGGAGCGAACGCTTTCATGCAGAAAAGGCCTGTTAGGGTCATGCCGCGAAAGTTCTAGGGCACGTATCCGCGAGTTCTGTATCGGAGCCCGTACCACACGAGAATCCTTTCAATAGCTCGAAAGAGGATTGGAAGCCTCGTCGGCTGAGAACGCTCCCCTTGTGCCATCTGTTGGAAAGGATACGCAGCAATGAAGACGTTCCTTCTCTGATAGGTTCCTGAGGTGCGGGTTTTTGGAGCAGATGCATTGGGGTTGCTGGGCCACCCTGCTCTCGGCGGGAGTCGACTACCTTGGATTCCACGCTCTCTACTACCGTGGCTCACGAATTATGATGAACGGGGTATGAGAGAGCGAAAGGGGACTGTCTTCCGAATAGAAGTTTATTAGAGTTATCATCTTCTGAGTGTAGACAAACATTTTGATTCATGTGATGTTTGATATGGAATCGGTATATAGGGATGGATTGGCGGTATGTATTTGAACAATCAATGACATACGTACGGGCACATGGGACCATACATACACACACACGCACGCATGGACACACCTAGGATTTTCTCTCGTCTCGATACAAGCACACAGTCTCAATCCATTCAATTGACGGTCAATACAATCTCGCGAACATTCATCCGAGTCCTGATTCGGAGCCCGGAGCTCTCGAAGATTCGCCGGGATACTTCAAATAATCCAGGATCGGGAATAAGTAATGCATACAGTTTCTCGGGTGAATTTACATAGGATATCTTCTTGCAGGCTACGAAAAAAAAACTACGCCGACAAATTTCCATACAATCGCGACCACTCGCTCTTCGACGGTGTAAATATGGGGCCTGACAATTTGTATAAAAGTACAAACGCGTTAGTCTCGTGGAGACGACCGTATTGACCTGTGTAAGTATGATACAGGCATGAAACCTCCGAAATTCATAGAACTCCAGCTCATATTTTCGAACCGGCTCGTCCTCTCAATCGATTCATACCTGCTGCACTCCTCCAGGCCGCTGACTTGTGAAGACAACGCGTGCCATAACTGAGAAGGCGAGGTGACTTTCGTTAAATTCACATTGAAAGAGTATGATGTCATCGAGCGTCGATACACAATCCATAAGGTGGAGTTTCTCGCAATTCTCGGAACTCCAGAGTAGTGAGAAGCTCATTTTCGTTGTGAGGAGTCATTCCATTGGAATTACCTAGGCTCCATCCACCGAATTGTTTCATTGTATGTTTTACTCGAAGTAGACGTCGAAGCGTTCAAACTGCATGACCGGTGCGGTACCAAGAATATCTTTGGCTCAAGGTATCAGAGTCTTTCCACAATAAATAACGCATCCCATCATCTCAGGGGAGCTCGCATCCACATTTGCTTCGATGATCGATGCCGACAGCGGTTTGACTAGAGAATTTGATATTCCTCTTCTTTGATTCTCGTCGATAACGACAGCGAAATTCGAAACCGGTGGTTCAGCAGTCGGGCGGGTCCAGACCGGACCTAAGACTGAACTCCACAAATCGATTGACGCTCAAGGCGGGATACAGAACCCCTTGAAGATTCTGGAAAGCCTGACCCCCGCCCTGAAGGGTCCCGTTCACGAAAAAGCTCAAGCTACCCGCATCCATGTCGAGTAGAACTCCGATAACGTCGCCTTGTCGAATCCCCATCGGGGTTCGCGTGTGATGCTGATCGTCGTGTAAGAACCAGGAACGCTGATGATCGATGTACATGCAGTAGCCATTTTCGTCCTTGCCTAACATTAGATCACGAGCCGCATGATATCGTGCCACTCCGCACACGACGTCGGACGTGTTTCCTTCGTATCGCGTCAACGTTAGCTCCCAGTGGTGCACTCCAGACGAAAAACCGAGATTTCCCAAAACGAGGCGGTGCTCGAAGGCGTCGGCCGTCACTCGGAGGCAATCTTCGCTAATAATTGTGTCGGGGAGAGTTGTCGAAGCGTCGAGGAGGAAGCACGCGACGCTGTGGGTTTCCAAAGAAACCATCTGCGAGTAGATTGATGATCCGTGCGCGTTCAGAGCCTTGACACGTACGTTGTAGAGTGTGTTGAAATGAAGACCATCAATGGTGCAGATGTTGTCCGCTCCGTAATAAACTTCCTGTGGGATTCAAGAGAGAAATATCAAAAATCAGCCCAGAGCAGAGTTCGAACGGGACACAGCGATCGAATGGGTCGTGATATATCTGCTTCAGGAGACGTCTACACTCACGCGGAAGGCTTTGAGGTCATCATGGTCGGTTATTTCCAGGATGAAAGCATCGACCGGACTTTGATTGATCGCAGCTCTCCACGAGATGGTTATCGAGTTATTCATCGCACCACACTCGTCCAAGATAATGATCGGTGCACCCGGAGCTGCAACGGAATCCGGCGTTTTCACTCTGTTCGGAGCAGATTCAGGAGCAAATCCCCCTCGCGAGGAAGAAACCCGCGAACTAAGGAGCCGAATCCGAGGAATTTCAGACGACGAAAATCAATCTGTCATCCGGTCGTGCCGTCTCTGATTCGCTACAGCAACACCAACCTGATTCACAATCCTCTCCTGCTCGCATGGATTATTACAAAAATTCGTGAGGCAGTGTCATACACCAAATACTATTGGAGGTCCCTCGAGGATCCTCGAGCGAGCCCCAGCGATTGGGCAACTCTCGGAATAGGTAGCTCATATCTTCCGATATCCAACCCTCTGTTCGACTCGACTCATGGTTTACGGTTATGTGCTCAGTAGGAAAACTCACGTTTGTTCTTGATGAAGTCGAGCGTACGTATCTGTTCCAAGACGTCTTGGTCGTTGATTTCGAAATCGAAGTTCATGGCCGTTGTATGTCTTTGTTCCTTGAGCCATTCTTGCTCACAGCCCTTGACTCGATTGATGAGGATGCCTCCAATCTGAAAGGGAAGACCCGGTGAATACTTTTTGATCAGCTTCGCTCAGATTTAAGGGGCAGCTGTTCCGAGGCTCCGTTTCAGAGATAAGCTCCGTCTTGGGTCACAGCCATCAGCGAACTTGACCGCATCCATCTATCCGGACGTTTTCTGAATCTTCATGGGTCACTTACTTGGAGGAAAACCGTTGGTTCTGGCTCTTTGAGCGCTTCGATGCAGAGCTGGAGCAGTGATGTCGTGTTCTGGAGGCTTTGACTGCATTTACCGACTTTTTCTCGAATTTCCTGCAGTCGATTCTCTTTTTCGGTTTGAGCAATTTCGATAAGTTCGTCCCGTCGCTTTTCGACGGCTTCGATGAGCGCTGCGCACTGTGATCGGATCGATTTTTCTAGGGATTGACAATTTTCCTGCAAAGCGAATGCATTGGTCAGACATCGATGTCGTTGACGGACAACGTTGCCGCTGAGCGACCGAGCACAGTGAAACTCGGCTGGTATTTGCTCTCGGCGTCGCATTCCATCGAATGGACCGGTCGTGGGAAGTCCCGACGAAGGTCCCAGAACCTGATTGATTATCGCCGGGCATTGCTTCGCGAGGGATTCTGCTTCTTCCCCGTCGAGAAAAGAGAATCCCCATATTATGAATCTCGCCCTCATGTTCATATGAGGGTCTCGTGGAGGACAAACATTTTAACAGTGCACCCAGAAACGCGACGGTCGGTGCGACTAGCTGTAATCGTTTTTCCATACATAAACCCCAACAAAATCCATGAGGAATCGAAACTTCCTCCCGTGAACACCCCCCCTCCGGCCTCCTGCCGATCGGAGAACTGCTGCTGCTGCGGGCAGAGCCGTTAGAGCTTATCCTAACGGAAAACGGAGTGTGTTCGTCCAAGCGCTTTGAATGTCCTAGTTTCCATGACAGCGATCCTGAGGCTCCCGCCGAAAGTACATTGGCTGAGATAGAAGGACTCTCGACTAAGTCCCTCGAAAATCATCCAAACAATTCTAGCGGGCGGACGCACAGTGGGTTCAATTTATATCTCCGAGCGATTGACTCCTTATCAGGAGAGCAACCGATCACTCATCAAACGAAAGACGCGAGCCGATTCGGAAAATTCGCTGACATGAGCTTGTTATGCCAAGATACACTTGGCCGTATGAATGTCGGTTGAACAACGAGATTTGTTTGTGAGTGATGTCTGTCTGCGAATCAACTCGAGCGAGTGACGGACTTCGACTGCCTGTGAACGAGCGAGGCGGTGTCTCGACCACGGGCCCGGTCCATTCGAGGGTTCTGCTCGGCTAGACGAAGGTTATGCGGTAGCACTTTCGAAGTAGATGTGCTTTCCACAGCCTTCCAAAGAGTTCACCTTTGCGAAACGAGTCGAGATCGCTACCTTATTCGCGGTCACACTTTTCTGCATCGAGGAAGACAGCTTCTCGAGCAAACATCTTGGCTTGTTGGGGATCCTGCAAATTTCGCTGAATCGACGCTCCTAATTTTGATTCCGTCAAAATGCCATCAGAGTGAGGGATGTTCGAGAATTCCTCAATGACTAGCGAGCCAAAGAGTAAATTTCCGACTCCTCACTTTCCACCATCCCAGTCGCTCAAGCTCGTCTCTCCTCCGAAGTCAGCCGCTGGCAATCCGGTGGATCACCGCTTCTTCCGGATGCCGCGACCGCCCTCTGAGACCGTGTACTCCGCTCTGACATCACGCCGCTCAAACATGAAGCCGACTCAACAACGGCCTTATCCGACTCATGATCGAATGCTTTTCCCATCTGCAGGAGGCCTGACTGCTGCCTGGACGGGAGCGGCGAGTTGTATGTCCTGCCGTTCCATCCCCCAGCTGACGGCGGGAATCTGGGAGCGGCCCTGCAGCTCTCTGCTCCAACTTCTCGCTCGCCGTTCCCCGGGAGGTTTCCCGAGATAGGAAACCGGAGTTCGCTTTTCCTTTGCTGGCTTTATTTTCTCGATTTTTCAGAAAGCAAATCGCTGCAGAGCTACTCGAGGCCTTCGGTTATATCATTGGCGGCTGAGCGATTCCAGATCCCTGAATTCCGAGAGTGGAATCCAATGATGATTGGTAGCTCCGAATAATTCCTCCGGAAGAGGTTTCCCTCAAATCAACGCAACGTCCGGAGAGAGAAATTTCTGACGAAGTGGATGAGGCACCGGGGAGACTGAACAACTCATATCTCTGCAATGCAGATAAGCCAACGAGCGACGAACAAACAAACGAGCAATCGAGAGGGCGTGAAATCGCTTTCCTTGGCGTGGACAAACAGGCCGTACGGAGGCTTCCCTTGGGTGCAATCGGGCTGGCTGCGCGATTCTTTCGGCCGCCGCCCGACCGCGACTCCGCATGAAAACTTCCTCTCCGTGGGCTTCTCCGTGGCACTCCTCGGAGACTTGCGCTGGAGCTTTCTGCCATTGCTTGCTTCAAGAATCGCAGACGAAATCCCGACTCGACTCCACTGTGGGAGAGCCGTGGGATGGAATTATGGTCTTAATGTCGAGACAGCCGCACCGAACTCAGGGCTGCGGGACCCCAAGCGTCAGGCCCCACGGAGAAAGGGCCAACGATATCCTCGTAAAAGCGTGGTCCCCGCGGAGAGCAGCTCCTACATGGAGGGCTTGCTCGACAGGGTGAAAACGCAGAGGGAGACTACGGTCATACACTCGGAAAAAAAGCGCATTTGAATATTTCTCGCTCGTGAGGAGATGCAAACGCGCCCACTCTAGCTGCGCACGCTCTCACCGCGTATTTTCGGAGGTCGGAATTCGTTATTTGCTCCACACCATCTCTCTCGCCAGGAAAACTTCGCATCGGAAGACGTCCGACCGATTTTCCGTTGGTTCACCACCGTCGTAGAGAGAGACCGGATTCGGTAGCGTCGACGCAATTCAGGAATCACCACCCCAGACGAAAGCAGAGCGAAGTTTTCCATGGGAGAAAATCACCAAAATGGCGCATCGCACGTCAACGCCACGGGGAAAGTCTATTAGATCTAGCGCCGGATGACGGATGAAGTGAAATGATGCACCCGACCGAACCAACGACCGTTTGGAGCGGCGGTCGACCGCAAGTCCGTCCGACCGCCGGGTGAAGAATTCCCCGCCCGTTCTGCCCTCCGTCCCCAGAGGGTGAGTGAGCGAAAGCCATGGACCGTTCACCAACGCTCGAAATGTCTTTCATTAGGTTGTCTAGAGAACTCATTCGATGACCATCACGCGAACGTCATATTCTCCCTTCCTCCCGAGGTTTCAGATTCGGAGTCTCCGTCAACCCTGGTGAGTCCTCCGTCACAGTGTTGGGAAACTATCCCCTAGGACTTCATGCTGCATGATAGTGTTGGGTGACGTTGATACCCGAAAACTCAGCGTCTGTTGGTATCGTCACAAACATCGCTACAACATAAGCGAAAATGAAGCGGGAAAGAAGCGAGAGAAACTTCAACTCGCGTATAAACTTCTCCCCAACCTGAAATAAACTCTGTTATGTCGTGCTTTCCTACACTTTAGCTCGAGGCTCAGGAGGAATTTATGAGATCCTAGCGTCCCCCTCCCTCGTCGGACGCTTTTCTCCTCCCGACTCGCCCCGTCCGTCGACTTGTCCACTGACGAAATCCGTCGAGCCCGCTCAGCCTCAGCTCTCACAAGGAGGAAAAACTTCATCCAAGCTTCCGGGAGAGGAACTGCTTAAAAACGCTCATTCGACAAACGAAAAAGCGGTGGCTCGATAATCACATTCGAAGCGGGAGGAACCAAGCGGAATATCGCGCGGCAGAACTCGCCCAGGATCGTCAAAACTCAACTCTCTCCCGAAGCGTTTTGCCGCTGATCATCTAATAATTACCGAACTTATGGCCGCTCTTGGTATATTGGCATAAAGTATACGTATACGTTTGTAATTCGCGTACGCATCGCCTCGTTGTGAAAGTCGGGCCGCCCTGACCATGACTATTCTGTGAGCATGCTGTTGGTTCAGAGCAAGCGAAGGAATCCACATGAGACTGTGTCGGTCTGGCAGAGCAGACTAGCCGGAAGGGTTTTCAGAAAGCGGGTGTCACTTTCATTGAAGAGCGATACAACCACGCTTTGACCCGAATGTTCGCTCGGGTCACTCTGGGATATTTCCAGATTCGTCCTCGATGAAATCGGAAACTCTCAGTCGAGCGTTGACATATCGGACACACGCGTGGCTGCGAGCAGCATAGCATGTCAGCGCGGAAGGCTCGGATCATGGAATGCGCCGATCGCGGACTGCGGACGATTTTGAGCGGCCAGGAGAGAACGCGAAGCTCACATCGCGATGAGGGGAACTGCCCCTCTGAGGACCCAACTCTCTTCCCGATTACGCCTTACAGGCAGGATCGATATTACTGTGATCATTACTCACGTTTATCTTCGCTGACATGCCCTTGAGATTAGCGATGAGTTCATTTGCTCCTTTGGCTCGCTCACTAAGCGACTGCAGGGATTGACTAAGCTGTGTCTGGAATAAGAAACGGAGAATCGACCTAGAATTTTCATTCAAACAAGCAAGTTTTGTTTCGCGGGGCAGCTGGCAGTCTGCTGCTAATCCGGGAGTCTCGAGAGCTCGGTTCGCGCAGTGTTTGAGTGAAACTTCGAATTTCGTGTTCAGGGCAGACGGGGACGCAGTTTTCCGACGTTATCCTCCAAAACTACAGCGCGACCATCTTATGCTCAAGCATTGCTTCACCTTCCGGGCTGCATGGTTATACTCCCACTCCGTCAGAGAGAGACCGCGAGGACCGTCCCGCTCAGGGCTGTTTATTTTGTGCTCACTTCGTTCAAGAAAGTCTCAACAGAACTTCTTCACCCCTCGTCGTTACGAGCTATGTCGACTTGCCCTTGTTCTTAGACACCTTCCGCAGGCTCCCGCCTTGTCTTTCCATGTCTCTCTGAGCTCGCAACTACAATTGCTCTTAAAGGCTAGTCACTCGTCACACTTGTTCAAGCGCTCAGATAAGTACTCGCTTGATCCAGCGCAGTCGGGTCGGATGATCTGAGCGGAGCTCGGCAATGAAGCTCGAGCTCGCATTGGGAAGGATGCGCGAGAGAAAAACTCTCGGAACTTCTCTTCCTTACGAGACGCCAACAGAGCCTTTATCCCAATCCGAATACTTCGCCTGGCTTCGGGTGATTCGGATAAGTCTGAGCTTCTATCCGGCTTTTTTGCCCGATAAGATGGTGGATGAAGATGCCGCCGGCAAACTCAATAAACATTTTGCTGAACTTCCGGGTCGTAAACCAGTGAATCGGGTGTTATTTTTCGATGCTGGAATCCATCTCTCTGCTCTATCCTCCATCCGTGCCCCGGTCGGGAGCTGGCTCAAGACGAGCTCGACTCAAGGAGGCGCTCTCGGCTCGATATTCAGCTCGCGACTCGCTATTATCGATTGCGCTCCGAGGAAAGATCTAATTCTCAGAAAGATCCGACGCCGATGTCTCGGAGTTTAGATCTTTCTCGGACAAATCCGTACGAGAGCCGGGAACTTTGGCCAGCCGTGGATTTTGAGCTCGCAGAAGGCGCCACGGAGTCGTCGTCTACCAGATCAAGCTCCTGCAGTGCCACGATAATTCGCGCAAGTAATTTTTTTCCCGGCCCCTCTCGCAGAGTCCGTCCCCATTCCACAAGCGTCTTCTCCCGGACAGCCAGAGAGCGGTCGGGCCAGCGGGAGAACTTCTCGTGATGATGTCGTCCTAATTAGAGGGGGACACCTCCAGCTAGCTAAACTGCTAATGAAACTCGTCGCGCCGGAAGTTTCTGCGTCAAGATCCGGTGGGCAAAACTTCTCTCAACCGAAGCTCATGAAGAAGCATCGTCGGGAAGAGTCGAGTGAAACTCGGGCAGAATTTCAAAGTGACATGAACAAAAAACATTTCGAAAATATTATTCCTGCGAGCTATGCATTCGAATTCGGGACGAAGAAGGGCCCCGGAGCATCCGCTACTGAGCCGGCTGCTCCCAAAAAACGCTGAGCGAGCGATCGGAGAAAAGTTCTCATACTTCCGATTGCTCTCGGAGCGGTTCTCGACCCTCGATCATAAGGTCTGTTACCTCATATTGGACTTCGATTTCGGCCCGCCGAGCTCTTTACGTCTACGAGCCGTACCAATGGAAGCTTCGGCTCGACTGGATGACGACGACGGGGACCAGAACTTAGATTGAGAAGAGGATTCTCTTGAAATGTTGTTGATTGTTTTTTGCTATAAGAGTCAAGTGCTCGATCAGCATCTCTGGGACGCGCCCCTAGAGAGTCCGTGGCGAGCGGGTTCAGTCATTGGATGATCTACCCGCTCCATGACGGATGACAAGACGCGAGAGAGCTTCGCCTCTTATCCGCTTCGGAACTTTCGATTCCAAAAGCTGAGCTTTTTGTATTCCGATGAAGACCGAGGTTCTCTGCGAAACCGGTGTGTATTCGTTCTATCGCGTAGACGAGCAGGCGAGCTCTCCCGAGGGGTAGTTTCCGGAGGAGCTTCCTAGCGTTCGCGATTGAGAGCGTGGCCACGACCGTTTCCGATCATGCTCCCCGCCGGTTTTGAGAGAATGGGTCGAGATGTTTTTGAAAGCTTGCCTTTGACAGTCGTGTGCATCTGGTGCGGGCGACCAGTGTGTCCGTCGCTTCATTTTACGCTCTGGGCTCGATTTACTGTCTATCCGGTCGTCTGGCTCGCTCGTCGTCGCGTCCGTGCATTTGAGAAGAAAACACTTCGCGACCAGCAGTCCGCCAGCTTCGGTAGCTGTCATTCGTCGACTTCACGATGGCACCCGTCAGAGCTGCTGGCCGACTGAGCCACCGAGAGGACCAGCGTGCCCGCCCGAGGCGGAGATAGACGTCATTTCTTAAGACAGCAGCACACTGCTTTGACATGGTGAAGCAAACAGACGGACTCCTTGACTGGCGAATGACGCTTGGAGGGACCACTCCCAGACCTCGCATCATGCGGATCCTCGACATTCTGGCGATGGCAGGAAGCAATTTTGACTCGATGCGCCTTCCAGAGGCATTCGAAGTCGCAGGAGAACAGCTTATCCGCGGCCGATTCCGGAGTGTTATTGTTTTCGCCGATCGAAGCTATTTCGGAACGAAAGCACTCCGATCATTCGCTCGGGGATCTCTTACCCGCTCACGTCTTTCGTCGATCTCGAAGTCAGCGCTCTAGCGCGGGTGTCTTTCGGACAATCACAACGAGCGCGGTAAACTCACGCGGGAAGGCGGACGTTCCATCCCGCGGATTCCCTCGGGCTTATTCAGCACAAAGGACGCGGCAGTTTCCTGAAATCAGCTTCCATGGCATGCATCAAGAATGGGCCCTACAAGGAAAACAGGGTGTTCTATCGAAAAACCTATCTTCTATGCTTGGCTAGCTGTCTGACTGACTGACTGGTTTGTCGGAGGGTTGGTGGACGAGCGAGCGAGCGAACTGCGTGGCTCTCGGGCCGGACGCGAGAATATTGGCCTCAGGGAATACTAGAGCACAAAATCATTACGAAGCAAACCAAGCAAACAGCCAGCTTCCCGGTTTGGCTAGCGTAAAAGCCGCTCTATTAGGAACTTAATGAACGAGCATTCTATTCTAACCCACACAAACGCGCACCGTTCGCTCCGACCGGTACGGTGCGTGAGTTCGCCTCTGACCCCATGTACGGTGAAGGTGGTCGACAACACGCTCAGGGGCATCCTCATATTTCCACGTGGACGTTCACAACTGACCGCTGGCCATCGTCGGAATTCCACTGCGGGCGGAGGTGGGTTCTCGGCTGTCACGATCAATAGGCGACTCGAACAAGCCTCTACTACGAATGAGAATGCCCCGTGATCTGTTCCTATTCATTATAGCCCATTATCGCGACCGTCAGCATCGATTGACGGTCGAAATTGTGCCGAGAGAAAAACGAAAAGGGCTCACGAGTCGTCCGATGGCATCGAAATCAACCAGTCCAGATATCTTCGCGCACAGCGGAGGTGATCGATGTCCGCCGACAGGAGAACTTTCCCGGAAAGCAATGAATGAATCAGCTCGTTTCCATTCGGCGAGTAATAAATAAACCGAATAGAGTAAATGAGTAAATAATCTGGCCTCAGGAAGTGCATCGCATGGAATACGAGAACGAGCCTGCGAAGACAGTCAGGTCATAAAGTGGATCCACTCTTATTATTGTTCTTGTTTTTGTTGTTATCCCTTCCGCTATCTTGTGGTTTCCTGGGTGTTTTCTGTAAACCATGAAGAACGCAAATACCACCAATATATGTATGGGTATATGCACGGGACGGATTGAGTTGGAAGCATGGATCAGTGTTCGTGGGAGGCTTGCGCTTGAGGAAATTCTTCATGGGTAGGGAATCCCCTCCGATGGTCAGTCGGTCGAAGACAATGAACAAATGCAGCAATCGACTCATGCTCCTCCGGTCTCCCGAAGTCAACGTGGGAGCAGAACTGTATTTTCCTGGGAACGGAGCAAGATCTCCGCCGTGCATCACAAGCAGTTCTCCCCGAACTCTCGCTCAGCGGGTGGGCATCTCGTAATGAAAACATATATCACCTTCCCACGTGACCCAACCAGCTCCCCTATACCCTCGGCTTATCCCCTCAGGTGAGCAGCCTCAATAGATCACTCGAATTGTAACGTCGACGGAAGGCGTGAGCGAACAGGATGCCCCGCAGACCGCTCAATGAATGAATACGTTCAAGCCGGGTAGCGGCACGCCGCGACTCTTACTCTCAGAGGGCACGAGCACGACTGTTGGATTGTCCGCCTGGAAAGCTCGTTAGCCCTCCTCATGTTTTGCATTCCGGAATTCGCGAATTCTCAACAAGCAACGGAAGCTCCGCCGCAGGTAGGTGACGAGCTCCAGATCGGAAAAGCTCACTCCAGGCATCGAAGGCGCACTTAGCGTCAATTACGGCTCCGAGCGGATAGAGCTGGCATTGAAGTTCCCGCTTTGTCGGTCGTGTTCCCGATTCAGGTGTCCCGATCGAGCCCAACTCGCTTTCAGCTTGTCTTGTTGTTGAGCAGAAGATGTTCTAATGGAGCGTTCTCCACCCCACCTTCTCCAACTTACCTCCGCTCGCCTGACGAGCGAGTCTTCCGCGACTCGTACCCGCAAGTCGTGTGACAATAGGAGGAACTGCGGGGAGCCTCGTCCACCCCGTCCCGATTCGTCCGCAGCTACCCAAGAGAGGAAGAGTGGCAGCTCGTAGTCCTATGGTGCTCAACATATCACCGCCGATTGTGGCAGCAAAGAAACGCGCGGGGACCGCGTTCCGAATCCAGGCTCCTCCGTCAGGGTGTCCGGCTAGGATCTCCCGCGAGCACGGCCTCTTGGGAGTAACGTAAGGGTTTTCCGTAAGATTTTTCAATGGGAGTTTTCCTCGCGAGTTTTCCGTGCGCAAGTCTCCACCACAGTTTCCCCGCTACTACATACGTCATAGTATAAACGCAGGGAACCAGAACTAGTTTCG